GTAGATTAATTCGTAGTTGTATGCAGCAAGGAATTCAGACCACCTCGTCATTCACGGTGACAATATGTTGGGTGTGGGTTTGTTTCCTGCAAGTATTCCTAAAAGAGGTTTATGATCGGTGACCAGTGAAAATCTCCTGCCATAGATGTACTCATGGAACTTTTTAACTCCGGTTATTGCGGCCAGTGCTTCTCTATCCAATTGGCTGTAGTTCCGCTCCGCTTTTGATAGAGTTTTTGAATGGAATGCGGTCGGTGCTTCTCTTCCATCGGGTAATATGTGGCTGAGTATGGCCCCGACGCCAAAGGGTGAGGCATCGCAGGTTAATGGTAGTGGCAGGGTCTCTCTATATTGGATTAGTACACAGTCTGATGTAATTAAGTCTTTGATTCCCTGGAATGCAGTTTCTTCTCGTCGCCCCCAGGTCCAGGTAGCTTTTTTATCCAGCAACCTGTGTAGCAGTTCTGCTATTGTTGCCTTCTGCGGCAAAAATACATTATAAAAATTAATAAGTCCAGAGAAGGCCTGTAAATCTGTTTTATTTTCGGGTCTGGGAGCTCCCTTGATTGCTCTGATTTTGTTTTCAGTGTGGTGGATCCCTTCTTTATCTATAAGGTATCCCAGGAATTCAACCTTATTGGTGGCTAATTGGCATTTCTCTCTTTTAACTTTAAGTCCCGCCTCTTTAAATTTTTGTAAGACTTCCCTCAAACAGTCTTTGAGTTGTTTTTTGTCCTTGGCTGATACCAGCACATCATCAAAATATGGCACTACCCCTTTAATTCCTTGCAGTAGGTGCTCCATTAGACTCTGAAATACCCCTGGGGCCACGCTAACTCCGAATTGTAGTCTTTTGCATTTGAATGCCCCTCTATGAGTCACTAGTGTTTGGGCTTCCGCAGTTTCTGAGTCAACTGGCAACTGTTGATAAACTTGCGCAAGGTCTAATTTCGCGAAAATTCTACCTCCCCCCAAAGAGTGTAACAGGTGCTGTACCACCGGAACTGGGTATGCGCTTTGTTGTAGTCCATGGTTGAGGGTGGCCTTGTAGTCTCCATAGATGTGTACGGACCCATCTAGTTTGATAGGAGTCACAATTGGGGTTTCCCACCTTGAGTGGTCTATTGGTTCTAATACCCCTTGTGCGATAAGTTTATCTAATTGTTCATCAATTTTTGGTTTTAACGCAAAAGAGACTCGTCTTGCCTTTAACCTTATTGGGGCTATCTTAGGATCCAAATTAAATGAGATAGGGGACCCTCAGTACTTGCCCAGTTCTCCATTGAAGACGTCCTGGAGTTCTCTCATCAGGTTCTCTTCCCAGTCTGTCTCAGCGATGTTGTTTATTCCGGTCACTCCGATTCCTAGTGGTTCAAACCATTCGAGTCCCAGTAAGTTGGGGCGATCCCGGTCGACTATGGTCAATGGAAGGACTTTCGTGTATTTTTTAAATTTGATCTGGAAGTGTCCGGTTCCAACTACGGGAATTCTGTTTCCCTGGTAGTCTTTAAGTGTGAGTTTTTGTTTTTCTAGTTCCTTTCTTTTCATGTCGGGTATCAGGCTTTTGAGAGTGTTCCATGATACCATTGACAGATACAAACCGGAATCCACCTCCATCTCACATGGTTGGTCTTCTATGGTGACTTGTACCAGTACCTTTTTCGCATTGACTGCGCTCGAGTGTCCAATAATTATTGTCTGGTGTGTTTCTTCTTTTCTATTGGCTTCTTTCCACCGCTTGTTTCTGCTGTCTTGGCTCCAACAGCCCCCTGTCTGTCTTTCTCTCATTCTGGGGGGGGGGGGGTATTTCCTCTTCTTCTAGGGCTATAGTTATTTCTGTTTCGGCATGCCCTAGCTATGTGTCCCCGCCGTTCATAATGCCTGCAAATAGCATAGAAGAAACGACATTCGGAACGTGGATGGTCCTCTCCACATCCGGCACAACGAAACCCCGACTTTCTTTCCCTGCGCTCCCGTCTGCCTTTCTCCGACTCTGATTTACTTCTTCTTCTTCCTCATCAATTTCGGATAGGGATTCAATGTCCTCATGGTGTGTCGTGGTGGTGGTTTTTTTGAGTCTCCTCTTGCTTCTTGTTTTGAGCTTGGTTAGTGTCTTTCGGGGTTTCCTGTGTTACTTTATTCATCTGTCGCATGGTGGCTGCTGATCTTTGTGCTGCTTCTGCTGCAGTGGCTTCTTCTATTGCCTCAGTCAATGTTATTTTGGGTCTGGTCAGTAGTCGGCTCTGTAGTATAAGGTCTCTTAATCCAAGAACCACGTGGTCCCTCATAGCCTCGTCCATGTTTAGGAGTTCGCACGCTCCTCCAGTGTCTCTTAGGTCTGCGACAAAATCTCCGATGCTCTCGTCTTCCTTTTGGTCGCGCTTGTAAAATTCGTGTTGCTTGATAAGGCATGAGACGGTTGGTGTATAATGGGCTCGTAGTAACTTGTCTAAATCCGGCCACGCCATTTTCTTTACATCGTGGGGTGAGGCTAATGCCTTTGCCATTTTGAAGACTGTGGGTCCACAGTGGGTGAGGAAAACGGCTCTCTTCCTATTGTCGGAGATTCCTTGGAGCTCGTTCCCTTCTAGGAACATGAGGAATCGGTCGATGTACGATTCCCAGTCTTCTGTTGCTGGGTTGAACGGTGCGGGTGGCGAGTTGTTGCCGGCCATCTCGTCTAGCTCGGTTCTCGTTGCCACGTGTTCAACTGGTCTCGTCTCAGTATCCCATCCTCGTCGCCAGTGTTAAATTGTGGGAAAGACGACTCGAGACCAGTTAATCTTTAGTTGCTTTTAATTTTCTTCTCGGTAACTGAACGACAACGGAGCCGCGGCAGCCTCTTTTATAGCGGCTGCTCGCGGCTCTGGGCCAATGACGGCTATTCAATTTTCCCGCCGTCAGCCGAACCAATCAGAACGGAACATTCAAACATTCAAATATATAACACCTGACATTTGCCACCATAAATCTGATCCAGTTCACAAGGCCCCAACATACAGTGGAGGTCACATATTAGATCTGGGATTTATCTGGGGCACCGTGATATGACCTGGATGTAGAGTCCCTTGTCATGGTCAGTTCAGAGCTACTCTGTATGGGAAGAAAATTGGACCTGGTTGACTGGCCTCCCCAGGTGTCTGATTTTGTTGTGTTCAGAGATGCTTGGGGTTGTTCCTGAGACACTGGTGCATGCTTTGTTTCTATCTCCTCTACATTGTTATTTTTACAAATAACTCAAGGTGGTAAAGATATTTAACACACCTTTCTCCTTTTATTCTTGCAACCTAAGGTGAGTTAGACCGAGAAAGAGGGAGGGCCCATAATCACCCAGTGGCTTTCATGCTGTGGAAAGGGAACTTCACGAAGACAGTAGTGTCACAAAAAAACAGGAAAAGCCCAAGGGGAACATCAGGTCAGCCAGAAAACAAACTTACATAGGAAAAGGAATCAAATAAAAAGTATTAAAGAATCCCTATAGACAAAAGCCTAAGTAATTAAGAAAACTAGACAGATAGGAAAAGGAAACAAAAGATAATTTAGAAAACCGTTACAAACACAGGACATACCAAATAAGCAAAACAAACAGACAAAAGACACAAAATATAAATGATAAAAGGGACAGACAGGAGATTGCCACAGAACAAATACGAAAAACTATCTTAAAGCTAAAAGAGATTACAGAAAACCAATAATACAAACCCTGCGGAGTTTGCCCTTTGGCAGGAATAAAGACAAACTCAAACAGAATTTGAAACATTAGGCACAAATACAAACACTCACACAAAATCAACTTACAAAGGGAGTAAGGGTATTAAACTTACAAAGGGAAAAGGGTATTAAAAAACCAGGGACTTACCATAAGAAACTAGCTAGCCCAGGAACACAGACTTCTCGCTGTTCTCTGCCTTCCTGAAAAATAAAAAGATCCAGCTTTCAAGCAGTTGTCCGTATCCTTGCGCCGGAGCTCTCCCAGCGGGAAAATCGAATCCTGAAAGAAAGGCATTTTGACACCTTTCAACAATGCCTAAGGCAGGACTAGAACTCACCATCTCCTGGTGATTGGCCCAGAATCACTCGACTTTTATGCCTAAGGCAGAAATTGAACTCCTGCTGTCCAATGGTACCTTAACCACCAAACCAAACTGGCTCACATTGTGACTGGGCTTTGAATCATAGTTTGGACTGAGAAGGCAACAACTGCCTTGCATTAAGGCCTCCCTGTCCACAGGTCCCATGTTTTTTCACAGGACTTTCAGTAGATGAAACAGTTGGAAGTCCCGATGGACAAGACAAGCAAATCCAACCAAATGTATCAAGTCTGCAAGCAGCCCCAATGAAGGGAACCCAGAGGCCTTATGTGGGGGCAGAGGAAGAGTGTGAAGTCTACTGAAGATAGCTAGTAAAACGTGAGCTGCCATCTGTCTGGGTAGAGTCTGAATAGTTGACCTCTGTAATCCAAGTATTACTTCATGACAAAGTAAGCCAAAGATTAGCAGGCGGTATTTATACAGACACGATTTTGAAGTCTGGTTTAACTTTTTCTGGAATTTTCTTTAGCTGATGAGTACTACTTATTTCCTCATTACAGAAGACATTGTATTTTTAAAAAACATTTTGAATATTAATTCGTCTGAAATTACGGTTACATATATTGAGGGGTGAGAAGACGAAAAGGGGTCAAAAGGGCGAAAAATTGAAATGGCGGCAAATGCGGCCCGAAACGACCGGAAGGCGGAGCTTATCTCAATTGTGATGACGGAGTGCAGTGGACCCGAAGCACCGCGCCCTCCCGCCGCAGCCGCCTCCAAATCTCGCGAGATGAAAAACAATCTCGAGCACGGTTTCACAATAACCGGTGCTATAGCAACCTCGCAAAACACACCCGCGCGTAACGCCCATTTTTCTACTCAGTCCCGCCTCAGTGCCTGAGTTAAAAAAAGGAGACAACAGTCCCCGCCTCTTAGAGGTGGGACTTCCGGGCGGTTTTTAAAATCTTCCCTCGGATATGACCACAGAGTGTCAACATGTAAGATGGCGACTCATCACCGACAGAATACAGCGGGGCGGCGGAAAGTGCAGGTGAAGGAGGCGAAAGGGGCGCCCGGGCGGGAATAGAAGCTGAAGGGAGGGTGAGGGGAAGACCATCGTGGCCGAGCTAAGCTGATCGAAGCGACGAACGATCGAGCGGCGTGGTGGCTCGTCGAGCAGAACAACAGGCGAAGGGCGGAGTGGACAGGCGGCTTTCTCCCCCTCGCCTCCCTCCTGTGTGGGGATTCGCCTTGTATTACCTCTCGGCCCTGCGGCCGAGGATTATGGGGCTTGCCCCACCCGAGATCTGGCGGGTGTCACGTTGGGGGAGGTGGAAAGATTGTTCGGCTTCCTGCGTTGCTCGGAGCCGTAACAGTTTTCCGCTGTGAGAGGTGGCGTGTGGCCTTTTATTTCCCCCCTGACACACCACTCTTCCTCGGCCCACGCTGTAAAAAACAACAATAACCCCCAAGTCCTATCTACCCCTGAATTGGGTGGCCTACTTCGCTGCCCAGAAGTCCACTGGAGTTGGGCGGCTAAAAAATTCAGAACAAAATGATAAAGTGGGGGGGAACCTTGTAGGTCATCTAGTCCGACCCCCCCCCCCAACCCTACACCATTTCTGACAGATGACAGTCCACTTGAAAGCTTCCAGTGATGAAGCTCCCACATTCCATGGGTTGGTTGATCTCACTGTCAGAAAATTTCCTCCTTATTTCCAGATTGAATCTCTCCTTGTTCAGTTTCCATCCATTATTCCTTGTCTGGCCTCTGGGTGCCTTGGAAAATATGTTGACCCCCTCTTCAAATAATGATGTCACAGATCTAATATGAGAGTTGGGGTGGGTCAGGAAGAAAAGTTCCAGATAAGGACTGGGGAGGCTCTCCATTTCACCTTGAAACTCGGTGAGGGACCTTGTGTTCTGAGCCTGCTTTACAGAAAACAAAAAGTGGAATATTGAGTCTCCCCACTTGCAATCTGGATTCTTGCGGGTTTTATATATACTACTTTGGGTTTTAATGAATCAATTTTCTTCCAGTAAAAAATACCCAAAAGATTATAATCTGAAGCTGGGTATATTAAACCCAGAATAGGCTTCACTCTATCTTTGATATCATTTTATTACATCCATTAGTAACTTAAGTTCAGCAACCCTAGCTTTTCTCTCCTGGGGGCACTATCCTAAGCCAGTCCCAATGCTTTTAAGTGATTGTGTGCTAGAGCTTTAAAAGTACCAGTTGTCAGCTTTTCCAATTCTCCATCCTTTTCCTATTCTCTCAAAATCATTTCGAATAGCTTTTTTTTTTTCCTGTGTGAAGGGTAAAAAAAATAACTTAGCTTTTGCTGCATCAGTGTGTTTCTCATGCCAGTTTTGAGTACAGATAGTCCTCAATTTACGATTGCAAGTCCAAAATTTCTGTTTCTAAGTAAAACATTTCTTAAGTGAGTTTTGACCCATTTTATGATAAAGGTTTATTGCCACCTTTATTGCCACTGTTGTTAAATGAATCATTGCAGTTAATAACATGATTGTTAAGTGATTTTGGCTTCTCCATTGACTTTGCTTGTCAGAAGGTCTCAAAAAATGATCACTTGACCCTGGAACACTGCAACCATCATAAATGTGAGTTAGTTGCCAAATGTCTGGATTTTGATCACGTGACCATGAAGACATTGCAATGATCATAAATGTGAAAAACAGCCATAACTCACTTTTTCAGTTCCATTGAAGGTCAATAAATGAACTGTTGTAAGTTGAGGACTATCTGTATAACTGTTTTTTTTAATAGTGGAGTACATTTGGAATAAGTATTGTTTATCTGGATCTTCTAACAATGTAAATCTTAAGACCCAAGACCCATGAAAAACACATGGTGTTGTGGGAACCCCATCCCCCCACCCCAGAAGAATTAAATATTTTGGGAAACATTAAAAAAGGCAGAATATTATATTTCCCCAAAGGGAGAAAAATGGAGAAACATGCTCTTAAAGACAGAAAGCAGACTCAGTGTTTAATAGCCCCCAGGAGATATTTTGTGCCCATTAAACAAGATTGGGCCAACCTATTCACAAGACAAAGAACGTCAGCTCCAGGATAATAGGATAAAGGACAGGACATTGAGAAAAGCTGAAACATTAACTCAGGCTAGAGGCAATAGATAACAGGATAAAATCAATTACCCATGCCTGACAGGATTAGAATTAAGGAAGCCTTGGTGAAACAGGTAAAACCAATCACATAATAACACACAAGGCAAGCCTCCAAATTGCAAAATGTTGTAAATACTGTATAAAAAGCCCATGTAAAACCAGTCCAGTTGTTCAGCTGACCCAGAACTGCACACTGTCTTTGTGGTTCTGTTCAATAAACTTTCTTTCCAACCAGCCTCCATGTTGTTTTCAGCGTTTTTCTCTCAGCTTGGAACTGAACCAGATGGATTTTCCTTCCAACAGTATATTCCTACCTATGAGCAAAAATCTTTCCAAATTAAAGCAACAGTTTGTATCATTAAAGATGTACCAAACATTCTAAATTTCACGTCCCTTTGCCCTGTGGAATGTAGCTCCTTCTTGGAAATACAATATTCCATCACAGTAAATGTCCTGCAAAGAACATAAATGTATGCATGCCCCTGTTTGCACCTGCTGGAGGAGAAAGAGTATTGAGAATGTAGCAAGACAGAATCAATTGCTCAGCAAAGCTGCAGATAATGCAGAATGCATTTAAAACACTCTCCTAATAATCCTAAAGTGGTCATATGACCCTGAGATATCTTTTCAGTAGCCAGAACATTTCATATTGCTGATTATTTTTCTTCTCGCAATCTGTTTTGTTGTTCTCAGAATACTGGAAGAAATAGGATTAATTGCTTGTTGTCATATGATGCAGTAAACTGTTATATTCATAATTATATCTACAAAACAAAATAGTATCATGTCTCAGATTTAGGAAATCAGGTGAAATTGTGAAATATCTCATATTTGTTTGGTTATTACAGATATTAATGAATCTTTAGTGCTGTCATTCTATAATAAGACTATATTGTCTTACACAAAGGGGACTGTGTCTGTAGATACGGCATGGCATGACATGAGAACACCAACGTTTGTAGAAATGATTTTTTTTTTAAAGTGATAAAAATTCTTTAAAGTTGTGTGAACTGAAATTCCTTTGTAAGAAAGAAAATCTAATTGTAGGGAATTAGCATGAAAATGTGGATTAAAAGAGATGGATTTATAGTAATTAGATTGCCACTACTTAGACACTTCATGGGGCTCTGAAGACATGGTATAGCCAATAGGTCTGGAGGCTCCCAATATGATATAGAGCCCAACATGCAGCTTGTTTGATTGTTGTTGCCAGGGCTTATGGGACATTATTGGGTTTTGTGCAGGGTTTTCTTCTTTTTAAGCCACCCAGGGTCACTAAGAGTGAGTTGGACAACGATATAATATTTTTAATAAATAAAGTAAAATAAATATCTAGGAGCAGATCCTCTCTGTTGCAGGTGCTTTTTCCTTCAGAGATCATAGGACTCTAACGACATGAGAAATTTAGAGCAGAAAAATGCGCCTGAGCATTTTCGAGGTCTTGTTAGAAACAGCTGAATGTTGAATATTGAAAGATGAATTAAAGTATTTAGAGATCATGTGAGTTTGATAAAACACTCTGGGCCTTTTTGTTTAGAATAAACTCAAGATGTCCATTTATCATAAAAATGCATAACCTGGAAGGTACATCTTAATTATTGTTCCTGCTGGCTAATCTAGATTTAAAATAAATAAATAAACAAGCTCAAGTTACAAAACTCCAGTTTCAGTGATTGGGGCAATCTGGAATGCTTGAAACAATACAGCTTGAGGTGCCAAAATTTTAATTTTGTTTCTTTGTTACCCTGCTAAATTATGCTGAGACAATTCAGTATAACAAAAAGGAATGGAATATTCCAAAATTATCTGGAATGCTCCATTCCTGAATTTGTGAATTTTTTCATTCCTAATAAGACATTAGTTGTTTTGGAATTCATTATTTTAAATGAAAATGAGATATTTTTGAGCATGATTGAACAGAATGATGTTTCTGCTTTATAGTTTCTTAATACTTCTGTTGGATTTATACCAATTATTTTAGGTCTCTTATGTAATTAGAGATGAGGTGGAGAAATATAATCGCAATGGGGTAAATGCACTACAGCTGGATCCAGCGTTGAACAGGCTTTTTACTGCAGGTCGAGATTCAATCATCAGGATATGGAGTGTAAACCAACACAAGGTAAATTAAGCACAGAATGTACTTTACATATATATGCTTTCACTTTTAGGCCTATAGTCAAATTATCTAGCCAAAATAGTTTACATCATTTAAGAATAGGTTTGGAATTGTCTTAGCTAGTATCACACTTTCCTTATTTTTGCTTACTTTTTGAGTATTTTTTTTAATTTGAGAGCTTCTCAGAATTTTCAGTTATCTGATCTACAAAAAGAATGGCAAATTTTAATCTGCGATTTGAAGTAACCATGATTTAACCATATCTTAGCCTGAATCCATTCAGTAAGGCCAACCTAACTTGCGCTGAAACAAAATCATTGCCTGTGCTCCTCTTTTCAGCCAGACTTGGCTCCTAACATGACTCCCAACAATTAATCTTACATGGATGGTTCCCCCCGAAAATATGACCTACCCTGAAAACAAGCCCAACCCAATTTTCACGTCTGTGCCCAATATAAGCCCAACCCCAAAACTAAGCCCTAGTTAAGCCCCTCCCACTACCTGGTTGTATGAGATGGGGTGAGGCGCATGAGTAAAAATCAGCCTATGTGCTCTGCTTACTTTAGGACCGCTGCAGCCAGGCTCCCAGGCCCCGACACCTGTCACACTACTGTTTGATTTTTGTGGATACTTGCAGCCGGATGCCACATGACACGTTGCACCAGTGTCGTGGCTCCTGGCAGGACGCTGTGTGGTGCATTACACCAGTGCCAATGCTCTCACACACAATGGCGCAACGCAGCCTCCTGCGTGAGCATCAGCACTGGCACAACAAGCCACATGGCATCTGACCGCCAGTGGCCACAGAAGTTGGGCAGCAGTGTGACAGGTGTCGGGGAATGGGAGGCCTGGCTGTAGCTGTCCTAAGGTAAGCAGGTAAGACATCCCCCGAAAATAAGACCTGGTGCTTATTTTGGTGCCCAAAAGAAAATAAGACCAGGTCTTATTTTTGGGAAAACATGGCATGGTCGTCTCTTCTGTTATTTTTTATTTAGCTAGCCCTTTCACTAAGGGAAGGGCTAGAAAAAGTGCCAGTGAATCATAGGACTGACTGACAGTAAAAATGCCACTTCCCAAAATGTTCTTCAAATAGTCGCAATCCTATACCTATACCCTGGATTAATATGTAGCTGAAATAATTAAACTGGATACTAAAGTTGTTGGCAATTTGATGCACTGATTACTAACAGTAATTCTGAAATATAGATGAAACTGCCTCTTGTCATAACTGCCTCAAGAGAATTCTTATGATATAGGATTAAAACGCAAAACATCGTTTTTAATTCCAGCAAGACCCCTATATAGCATCAATGGAACATCATACGGACTGGGTGAATGATATTGTACTGTGTTGCAATGGTAAAACCTGTAAGTAACTTTCTGAATATTTTATGATGAAATAGAATGATGTGTGTCAGTTATCTCAGTGTTTGGTAATTGCATAATTTTTCTTTCTGTGTTCATAGGCCCTGTTTCAATTTATAGCAGTTATGTAAAATTCAAATTTATATAGTAATATTTAATAAACAGTAGAAGCCATTATCAACTAATGTTAATATACCTGACAAATAAAACTGCAAAAATTTAAAATAAGATTGCCAAGTGGCATAAAGCATCAGAAAATAAAATATTTTATGAATTAGGAATTTCTGAAACAATAGAAATGTTTTCCTTATATTGACAATATTAAGCAAAAACAAACAGCTGCTGAATTTCTCCAGAGATAAAGTTCCAAAAACATCCATCTGTTATTTAACTCTTGTATATGCTTCTGAGCAGTTATCAGTCGTATGATTCTGTGTTTTAATGGTAAACAGATTTTTCTTATTACTTGTCATCAAGACAAACGGTTCATTTTATCTTTATAGTGATATCGGCTTCATCTGATACTACTGTTAAAGTATGGAACGCACATAAAGGGTTTTGCATGTCAACCCTAAGAACCCATAAGGTAAAGTACAAAAAAATGCAATAAGCAATACTTGTGATGCCGTATCAGTATCCTAGTTACTTAGTTCTATTTGCCACATGTCTCTGTTTGTTTTAGGATTATGTGAAAGCTTTGGCTTATGCAAAAGACAAAGAATTGGTAGCATCTGCTGGGTTGGACAGACAAATATTCCTCTGGGATGTAAATACACTAACTGCACTGACTGCCTCGAACAATACTGTCACAAGTAAGTATCTAGAAATAAACCCATGCTGGTTTGTGTATGATAGGGGACTCCAAACTTGGCAACTTTCCTATGCTGGCTGGGGAATTCTGGGAATTGAAGTCCACAAGTCTTAAAAGTTGCCAAGTTTGGAAACTCCTAATACAAAACATGCTGTGATTATCAAATAATTCAATCTAAAATGCCCATAGAATTGACCGTGTGTCCTTCAGAAAATAATATCAGGATGGTCTCTGCACTGAATCCCTAAAAATTGATACAATCTTGAAATAACATTTTAATATGTAATAGTCCCCTTGCATTTATCTTCAGTGATAGCACAGTTATCTATTGGGGTTTCTGGGGAAGAGTTGCTGTTCCTTCAAAAACCTGGTTGATGGCATTCTCTTTGAAAACAATGCAATATAATGTTAGATTGGCATCATATCAATCACTCAGAATAGAGCTGGAAGAGACCTTGGAGGTCTTCTACTCCACCCCCCTGCTCAAGCCAGTGACCCTACACCATTTCAGACAAGTGACTGTCCAATCTCGTCTTAAAAACCTCCAGTGTTGAAGCACCCACAACTTCTGGAGGCCAGCTGTTCCACTGGTTAATGGTCCTCATTATTAGGAAGTTTCTCCTTAATTCCAGGTTGCTTCTTTTCTTGATTAGTTTCCATCCATTGTTTCTTGCCCTGACTTCAAGTGCTTTGGAAAATAAATTGACCCCCTCCTCTTTGGGGCAGCCTCTCAAATGCTAAAATACTGCTGTCCTGTCCTCCCTAGTCCTTCTTTCTTTTAGACTAGCCAAACCCAAATCCTGCAATCGTTCCTCGTATGTTATAGTCTCCAGGCCTTTAATCATCTTAGTTGTTCTTTGCACTTTTTCCAAAGTCTCAACCTCTTTTTTGTAATGAGGTGACCAACACTCGATGCAGTATTCCAGGTGTGGTCTTACTAAGGCTTTATAAAGTGGTACTAATACTTCACGTGATTTTGATTCTATGCCTCTGTTTATACAATCAAGGATTGTATTAACTTTTTTGGCTGCCGCCACACACTGCTGATTCATGCTTAAGGATCGTCCACTAGGACTCCAAGGTCCCTCTCACAGTTACTATTTTTGAGTCAGGTTTCACCTAATTTGGACTTGTGCCTTTGGTTTTTTCTGCAAAACCTTGCTTTTCTCCACCTTAAATTTCATTTTGTTGGATAGGGCTCATTGTTCCAGGTCTGTCAAGTTATTTTTGGATCCTGAGCTTGTCTTCTGGGGTGTTGGCTATTTCTGCCAGCTTAGTGTCATCTGCAAATTTGATGAGTTCCCCTTCTATTCCCTCATCTATATGAAGATGTGGAAGAGTACTGGGCCTAAGACAGGACCTTGTGGTACCCCCTGCTTACTTCCCTCAATGTAGATGTAGTACCCTTTAAGGACTCCTCACTGAGTACAGTTTGTCATCCAGAAAAACAAAACTGATGGTGATGCTGTCTATCCAACATTGTTCTAGTTTACCAAGAAGTAGGTTGTGGTCTACTTTGTCAAATGCCTTGCTGAGGTCTAAATACACAGTACTATGTCCACAGCGTTTTGCTGGTCTACTAATTTTATCAAAGTATGAAATAAAAAATGTTTGTCATGATCTATTTTTAACAAACTCATGCTGGCTACTAGTTCTAAATTTATTTGTTTTTAAATGTTCACAGATTGATTATTTTTTCCAGTGTCTTCCCATTGATGTTAGGCTATTTGTTATGTAATTTCCTAAGTCTGTGGTTTTTCCCCCCCACCCTCCAACTTCCGGAAGTGCTTTCTCTCAAATAATATTGTGTTTTCTATCCAACAGCTTCTTCCCTCAGTGGGAACAAAGACTCAATCTACAGTCTTGCTATGAATCAGATGGGAACAGTAATTGTATCCGGGTCCACTGAAAAGGTAATCACAATTTAGATAGCTTATCCCCACAGGATGAAATGAATTGCTAAAAGGATTACGAATAAGAGTTTGTGCGCAGCTATGAAACAAATTCAGGAGCCCTTTCCTGCAGTAGAAAAAGAAAAGCCGTCCATCTTATGGTAGAGGTGGTTAATTTTAAGATCTCCATGCTACCGGTAATACAATAATCCTTGAATTAAACTAGTTCATTTAGTGACTGTTTGAAGTTAACAATAGCGCTTAAAGAATTATTTATGACCATTTTTTGCACTTATGACTATTGCAGCATCCCCATGGTCACACGATCAAAGTTCAGATACTTGGCAACTCGCATGTACTTATGGCAGTTGCAGTGTCCCGGGGTCATGTGATCACCTTTTGTGACTTCCTGACAAGCAAAGTCAATGGGGAAGCCAAGTTCAGTTAACAACCAGGTTACTAACTTAACAACTGTAGCGAGTTCACTTAACAACTGTGGCAAGAAAAGTCATAAAATGGGGGGGAAAAATCCATAAATGCCTCATTTAGCAGCAGAAATTTTGGGCCAAATAGTGAACGTAAGTTGAAGACTACCTGTAAATCAATTTGGATTTTCTTGTTGATCTAATGCACTGAGTTAATGAGGCAAACTATAAGGAACCCTCTTCAGACATGTATGACTAAGTTTCTGTCTTATCAGGAGAAAAAACCCATAAAGGAGCAGATACTTTTAATAGAAGGATTCCAATTTTATAGTTTTGGAGTAGTGGCATGTACTGTATATTCTTTAAATAAATTTAAATTTAAACAATTTCTTATTTCTGATAACCCTAGGCTTGCTATACCCATGCTATGCAAGGATTGCATTTGACTCAGTTAAATAGACTACTGATCTGGTCCATCATTGGAATGAGACCATAACAGCAGAACAGTATTTTGTAAGCTGCAGGCATCAGCTCAGTTTCTAGAATTTCAGGATAGAGTGGAGAGAAAAAAAGTTTGAGATGTTCACAGGCTGAAATACATGGTTTACCATAAGAGTGTCGCAACTTCAGCAACTTTTAAGATGCATGGACTTCAACTCCCAGAATTCCCTAGCTGGTTGGGAAACTCCTGGTACAGTTTTATAATTCAGCCTATGTCAAGAACAAAGCTTATTCTAGAATTTTTGTTCTTCATAAGTTTTTGTTTTCTCCTTGTCATTTCAATCTCTCCACCAAACCAAGCGGTGTTACACTGACATAAATAATTTGGCTGATTTGGTTGGGTGGGAATGATATATAGATACATAAAACTATAACAGAGAACCATTTACTTAAAAAAAAAAATCAGGCCGACAGCTCTCCAGAGTAAATATTGCTTTTCTAAAAGATCTAAGCCTTAAAGGTTTTGAAATTGGTAGCATCTCATTGTATTAATATTAATGTGAGTAGTTTTTGAAAACCTAATTTCAAGCAATATGAGAATATATGAACAATACCATTAAAGAAGTGGTGCCAATTTTATTTTTCTAACAGGTTTTAAGGGTGTGGGACCCAAGAACTTGTGCAAAACTTATGAAACTCAAAGGACACACAGACAATGTTAAAGCTTTGCTACTGAACAAAGATGGTACACAGGTACGTTTTTAATGTACTTCCATCAGTTCCTTGGCTTTCATGTTATAATATCTTCTTCATCCAATTAGACTTACTTCAGTAACATAGTTCCAATTACTTAAGCAAAAATTATATTTAAATCCACTATATATCATAAATCTTGTCTCTGAGTATCCTGAATTGCATTTCATATTTAACACTTATGCGTTATAAGTATTTTTTACAGAGCCAATAAACAAGACTGGCATTTTAAGTCGTGTCAAACATGAATGGGTCAAACTATGGATGAGTATTTCGTTTTAATAACAAAAGTAATATAGTAAATATAGTTTTTTAACCATTTTTTAACCATTTAGTGTTTCACAATCTTGACAGTTTAAGATAGGTGAATTTCAACTCCCTTTGTTGCTAGTCAGGCTAGCTGAGGAATTTGTGTTGAAGTTCATGCTTCTTTAACTCACCGAAGTTGAGAAACAATTGAAATATCATCAAGCACCTCCATTGCATTCCGTTGGTCAAAAGATTGCTTTTTTTCTGTGGCTTTGTGCTTAAAATTGGGTATTGTAGCATTTTTTAAAAACTCTCATTCTTGCAGTGTCTTTCTGGCAGTTCCGATGGAACTATCCGACTCTGGTCACTTGGTCAGCAGAGGTGTATAGCTACGTACAGAGTCCATGATGAAGGCGTATGGGCACTTCAAGTCAATGAAGCTTTCACTCATGTTTATTCGGGTGGAAGAGACAGAAAGATATATTGTACAGATTTACGAAATCCTGATATCCGTGTGCTTATTTGCGAAGAAAAGGCACCAGTTCTTAAGGTACTATTTCTCTAAAGATCTTCTTCAGGATTGGAGAACTAAACATCTTTTCATTCTTTGGCACTCTTCTGACTGTCCCGATGATTGTTGGAGAGATACATAGTATAATTTTACCCTTCTTACTGTTGTATTTTGTATCTGTATTGACTTATATGTGGCCTTTACTATTAATGAAATGATTGCCTTTCGCAGGAAACTCTGCAGGAAGCAACACCAGAGGCAATTGCCTGGTTAGCTGAATCAGACATCCAGTTACGAGGTCACTGCTATACCCCCATAAAAGTTTTGTTTATAATTACACACGTTGTGTATATATGTTTCCTTCTGCAATGTTCTCATGTGTTTAATAATAAATAATGAAACTAATCACAAAACTTTTAAATTGGATTTTCATACAGACAAGTTATCACTCTTCCTTTCATACTTGAAATACATGTCATCTGTTGTTGTTTTTTTAAAAAAAGTTTTATTGGGTTTTCACAAAACATAATAGAAATAAAGCAACTATGGCTCCGTTATGACTTGTGGACTTCAGCTCCCAGAATTCCTGAGCCAGCCATGCTGTCTCAGGAATTCTGAGGTCCAAAAAAGGGCCATAGTTCCCCACCTCTGCTTTAGGCTAAGAAGAAAAGGCAGTGACAAAATATGTCCCATATCTTTGCCAAGAATGCTACTTGGTACACTCAAGTCGGCAGTGTGTCAGGTTCAACTCGAATAATCTTTCCCTCTTTGTGCATTGTTTCCCTATGATACCTAAGAGAGAAGAACTTCCTGTGAAAAGAACATAAAGCTAAATTGCAGTCTTCTCTATCTTCTTAACTCTGCATTGGGCTTTTGCGTGCATCATATCCTAAGGAAATGCTCATGAGCAGTTTCCATTCTAAGATACGGATTTTCCTTTCTCATTTAGATGGAACTTGATCGATCTGCCGATCCTCCCCCAGCACTGTGGGTTGCAACAACAAAGTCTTCTGTGAATAAATGGGTATGAACTGCATTGCAATCGTGTTTTAATCTATGTTTTTAAAATGTACATCTTCATTTGTCACTCAGTCCTGTGACTAAATGCTGTTTGAATATTCATTTGCTCCAAGGGAAAAAAAATATTAATCAGGATTGAGAATAATTAAGTTCCCTCTGATACATTATTCATTTTGATTGAATTATATGCTGTCGTAAGGTTTATTAAAGGGGAAGGTTGGTTTGTGAGTCTCAGGTAAATTATAGGTAGGCCTCAACTTAGACCACAGTTGAACCCCAAATTTCCATTGTTAAGCAAGACAGTTATTAAGTTTTGCCCCATTTTATGACCTTTCTTGCCACAGTTAAGTGAAACGCAGTTGTAAAGTTGTAAGAAATGCTATTTAAGAGAATTTGGCTTCTCCATTGACTTTAGTTGTCTAAAAGTCACAAAAGGGGCTCACATGACCCAGGGACACTATGACCGTCATAAATATGAGTCAGTTGCCAAGCGTCTGAATTTTGATTATGTCACCGTAGAGACATTGCAATTGTAGTAATCGTGAAAAACAGTCACAACTCACTTTTTCAGTGTCGATGTACTTCAGACTGTCACCAAATGAAGAGTTGTAAATTGACCCTGTCAATTCCTTGTAGGAATAGAAAAAAATATAGAAATACATGCTCCTACTGGGTAATTTACTTAAAGGATTCTCCCCCACCCAGCTTATCCTTTCCCTCCACTTTCTTTTTCAGAATTTGAAAGGAATTCACAACTTTAGAGCATCAGGTGATTATGACAATGACTGTTCTAACCCAATCACACCCCTGTGTACACAACCAGATCAAGTTATCAAAGGTGAGGTGATTATCTCGGATTTTTCCCCCCGAACTCTTAATTTAATGCAGGCAGGGATACAGATAAATAGCAGTGGTGGTATTCTACCGGTTGGGCCCGGTTCTGCCTGGCCGGTAGCAGTGATGAGCAGCAGAGACTGAACCAGTTCTCTCCGCCTCTCTGCTGTCGGGCCCACCCGCCCGCCTTGGCTCCCATATTCACCGGCATTCTCATTCTTATCCTCTGCTTTTGAAGCGCAGCTGCTTTGTGCGGCACAGAAGAGTGCTCCGCGGCAGCTGCTGCTGAAGCGACCAGGAGAGTGCAGGCTTGCAGGAGGTGAGTTAGTACACCTCTGTGCCTGCACAAACGCCTCAAAGTGTGCGTGCATGCATGCAAAGCGGGCCTACCAAGCCACATCCACCGAACCGGTGGCAAAAATATTTGAATCCCACCACTGATAAATAGTATATGCTACAAAATTAGTTTGGGTATCATTTTGGGCACTGTGATGTTCTGGAGTTCAGCAGTTGGTAAGTAAACAGCCCAAGGGGGGGAGGAGTAAGAAAGTACCCTAATATTGCCCCCTCTTAACTCTCTTTGTTATATAAAGTAAGGGTCTTCAAACTTGGCAATTTTAAGTCTTGTGAACGTCAACTCCCAGAATTCCCTAGCCAGCATGGCTGGTTGAGGAATTCTGGGAGTTGAAGTTCATAAGTGGAGACCCCACTTATGAACTCCTGGAAAAGGAGGTGGAAAAATCAAGATACTCCATTCCAGAGCTCTCTGAGATAATGATTTGCAAGAGCTTTTAGCCAGATCATTTTATACAGTTGTTCGACTATTGAAAGATGGTCTTTTTCTGGTCACATTTACCTGAGCCACCAGAGAAGGGAGGCAGGGATGCTATATATCCCCTCTCTTAAGGAGGTCCATCTAATGCAGGGCTGTCAAACTCGCGGCCTGTGGGCCAGATGTGTCACACGCTGGCTATGCCAACGCCCAGTTCAGTGAAGGGGGGAAAAGTCCCAATAGGTCATGTGATGCCACCATGACGACGCGAGTTTGGCATCCCTGATCTAGTGAGATCAAGGAGAAGGGCCTTCACCGTGGTGGCGCCTTCCCTTGGAACGCTATCAGAGATAAGATTGGTTTCGCTAGCAGGCTGGGGATCCTTGAATGATATGGAACCCATTGTTCTGATTGTTGTCACCAGGGGTCTGGGGATTGATTGGGTGTTGTATTGCGGTTTTATTGGTATAAGTTGCCCAGGGTCAACGTGAGTGGGTCGGGCGGATAAATTTTCTAAATAATTTTTTTTCCTTTTTAAATGGAAAAAGTCAGGAATCTTGACTCTATGTTTCACGTGATGGAAACATCAAACCTTTTGAAGCAACCCTGCCATGCTTTCTTTCTGTGGTATCAGAACATTACAAGGGAATGTAAGATGAAAAAAATGTAATTTGTACCCCGAGTTTTTCTTACTGGAAAATGCCATATTTTCTGTATGTTTTCTGTATGTCAAATTGGCATGGATTATAGGATTCACTTTTGTGGTCTCTTTCTTAGGTGGTGCAAGTATCATTCAGTGCCACATTCTCAATGACAAGCGACATATACTAACCAAAGATACAAACAACAATGTGGCATATTGGGATGTACTGAAGGTCAGTGGAACTAGTAGTTTAATGTATGTGATTTTGGCATTTAAAAACCTCCTCCTTTCCTCGTTCCTTGCCCTTTTAATCCCTTAGAACAGGAATAGGAACTATGGCCCCTTTATGACTTGTGGACTTCAACCCCTGAGCATGGCTGGCTCAGGAATTCTGGGAGTTGAAGTCCACAAATCATAAAGGGGCCATAGTTCCCCACCTCTTCTTTAGAACATAAAACAAGTTGGCAGTATCTGTCTAATTGAGGCTGGAGTTCCTGTAGCACTCATGATATTTTAAATTGCCAAACTTGCGACTTGTTATTTCTGACTGGTTCTTAAGAGCCATTTCCAGATATAAACATTACTCCTTTGCCTAAAAGGTGGTGGTGGTATTATTATTATTTTTATTATTGTTATTGTTATTACCTTTATTGTCAAGAGTAGAACATGTGTACAATGAGATTGGCTGAGCCTCCCTTCGTGCAACCCCTGCCCCCCCAACACAACTCACAGTGGGGATAGAAATCCCTGACCCAGTCCTAATGTTATTACACTATGTGACCTTGTTGCACAACGTGCCGGCCCCACAAATCTTTCATACTCTGTTGACATGAAGTTATTTTCTGTTCAGAAATCTGACAGCCCACGGGTAGAAACTGTTCTTCAGCCTGTTGGTGCGGCTGGCTATGCTGCTCTAACTCCTACCCGATGGCAGGAGAGTGAAGAAGTGCTGACTGGGGTATGAGTTGTCTCTGAGAATTTTCCTCACTCTTCTAAGGCAGCGAGCCCTAGCGAGGTCATCTAGTAGTATCAGGGGACAGTCCACAATGTTTTGTGCTGTGCTCACCACCCTCTGTAATGTCTATGTGCTTATTTAAAAAACATAACCATGCAGTTGCTTTTGCAACCAGTACTTATAATTACTTGTAACAACTTACCCAGCTGTAACAGGGGGTTTTTTTTTGTTTTTGTTTTTTTGAGAAAGATTCCTGGTAAGGCATTTTTTTTACAGCATGCTGGTTGGAGAATTTTGGAAGTTGAAGTCCACCTGTTTTGAAGCTGCCAAAGTTAGACACCTCTGACTTACAGTGAGCTGTCCTAAGAGCTCCTTTCAGTTTTGTGAAACATTGTGGTGGATTAAATAGAAAATTAGCCAACTTTGAGTCAACTGCTCCATTGGGAGTAAATTAATATTTTATATTAGTGTATAAATTACTATAGTATATATTATACTACATACTTATAGTAAGCTACGTACCGTGTATGTATATGGTAATCTGTTAGATTTGTTTGGCTTTCTCATTATGTAGGCATGTAAAGTAGAAGACCTTGGAAAAATGGACTTTGAAGAAGAAATTAAGAAAAGATTTAAAATGGTTTATGTACCTAATTGGTTTTCAGTGGACTTAAAAACTGGGGTAAGGCACATTTTTAATAATAGTAACCATTTCAGATGAGATGATGTATGCTGCTTTGCTATTTAATTATTCCAGGCAGTTGCTATAGAGCTCGGGGTAATAGTCGTGGCTTCCTTTCCCATATTTTATTCAGACAATGTGCTGTGAGATTTAAAATAACACTCAGTAACCCAGCAAGTATATCAAATAGGAATCATTATAGGTCATAATATCTCTTTGTCTCCGACTTCTGATATCTGCCTGTGTAATTTTTTAAGCTCAAAACACATAATGGAGCATACATGGAGCATGAAGCAAAATAGATAAGAAAAAAAATTCCTTATTTCCAGGAACTAAAATGTCCCATCACATGTATCAGAACAAGAAAAATCATTTACTGTATACACACTTTGATTTTGTAGCCAGAATAGCAATTTTAATTCAAAAAATATTTCTTTGGACTTTAGTGAAAAGTAATAGGGAAATCTAGAAGTCAACATAATTTTTATTCTGTATCCTATTCAGGTTAAAATAGATCTATAATGTAATGAAGAAATTACATTGTTCTTTGCTTATAATTCCTGTCAAATTAGATGTGCTCATTAGGGTTTTCTATGTTTGAATACCAATAAAGCAGTACCACCTAATGTGCTTTGGTTTTTTTTGGCAGATGTTAACTATCACTTTAGATGAGAGTGACTGCTTTGCAGCTTGGGTCTCAGCCAAAGATGCTGGGTTTAGCAGTCCAGATGGATCTGATCCAAAATGTGAGTGTGTTGTTTTAATATAATGTTTTTGCCCTGAATTTAGGCTTCTTGTTTGTGTTGGCTGATTATACTGGAATTGGTCTTACAACTCAATTCAGTTTTCAGGACTCAATCTCTGAACTGGAACAAACTTGATGGATATTTTTTTAATAGTTTGGAAACAATATTCCAAACTTTTAAACAGTTTAAACTTTTTACCTTTGTACAGTAATAAGAATAAGATTAAGGCTTACGTGGCAAAACTACTTTAGATGGCAGCTTGGAGATGTCGAGGAACTGAATGTTTTAGTAGCTACAATTAGTTCTCAATTTACAAAAGTTCATTGACTATTCGAAGTTACAGGAGCACTGAAAAAGGGGACTTAGAACAAATTTTCACACTTACAACCCTTGCACCACCCCTGTGGTACAGAAAATTCAGCCTCTTGGCAACTGCCTCATATTTATGATAGTTGAAGTGTCCCTGGGGGGTCATGCAATCCCCTTTTGCGACCTTCTGGCAAGCAAAGTCCATGGGGAAGCCAGATTCATTTAACAGCCTGTGATTAACTGAACAACTGCAGTGATTTACTTAGCAACAGAGGCAAGAAGGGTCGTAAAATGGGGCAAAGCTCACTTAGCCAGAGAAATATTGGACTCAATTGTGGTCGTAAGTCGAGGCCTGCATTCTGTGGGACAGCAGGTCTGCTTTTGAAAAATCCCAGAGGTTGATATAGCTGGGGCGGATTGCGCCCTTCAACGAACACCGCATATTTTTGTTCAAGCATCTGTGACTAATAGCAGTACGGCCCTGAATTGTTTATAATTAGTCATGCCTTTTTATTTCCTTTGTATTGCACTATACAGTGAACCTCGGGGGACTTCTGCTGCAGGCTCTGTTAGAATACTGGCCTAGAACCCACATCAATCCCATGGATGAAGAAGAAAATGAGATGAATCATGGTGAGCACCTCTTTCTTCCCCACTGAGGGACTGGCACATTTCTGGTCGGTATTTCAAGCTGGCATTTGGGCTTCCTGGGCTTACAGAAAGCCCTGATGTATTATTTTATAAAATAACCCATGCGGATCAGTGCCTGTTCTTCCTAAAGTGATGGCAGGATGGGCGGTATATAAATTTGATACATACTACATACATACACACAAACACATACATACATATATACATACATACATACATACATACATACATACATACATAGATAGATAGATATTCCTAACATAGTTAGAAGGTAAAATATATATCTTGGACTGGCTTTAAAAAAAAAATTGAACCACTATGGGACAATATCACCTAAGGCCGCAATCCCCAACCTTTTGCACACTAAACTAGAAGAAATAGTTTTCCACAGAACTGGTTTCTGATTGGGGACCCTGACAGACTGGGGGTGGGTGGGTGGGTTTTGCATGTTACCTAGATCCCGCACATGTGCAGATGAAGCTTTGCTCACTTGCGCGGACCAGGTGGTAACAGGCCGCGGATTGGTTACAGGTTAGGATCCTTGATCTAGGGTAGTGTTCTTAAACTTTTTGCTCTCTGGACCCAATCTTGCTTTTAATGGAGGATCCCCGAAGAGCTTTTGCTTGTACAGGGGATGACGATGATGACAGTGATGACGTTATCCATTCAGTCACGTCGGACTCTTGATGATTCTGTGGGCCAAAAGTCAGATATGACTGAATGGAGAAGTTGGACATAGACAAGCACAGGTTCTATTTATCTATAATTATCCTACTAATTTTTAGGAAGATGGGGGATGCCTCCTACCCTACTAAAAATTGGAATGATGCATTCCTACAGTATTTACTTATCTAAATGAAATGGAAAGTAGCCTGGAGTTCTAGAAAGGAGGAGCTCCTTCCCAGAGAGCAGAGAGACGTTGGCGCCTGGAATGATACGTGCTACATTTATTTCCATAAAATAAGCCTGAGACAGAGGCCCATTAAGGTCACCAGCTGGGGAAGTCTGAGGCAGACAGACGGTTCCCAAAACAAAGAGAGTGCAAATGGTTGGTGGATGATAATGGACAATGGGAGGTTCGGGGGGATTTTTTCCTATGCCATTTTCACATGAAATCATTAGAACTGGCTTTTCTACTTCTGTACCTGCGTGGAATCTTCAGTAAAGTTACACTCTTGGTTTAAAACAATGTCCTAGGAGCCTGACGCGGTGGGACAGATTGACACACTGCTGTCATGTCGCCCCCCACAGTCCTTCCTTTCATCAGAGTAGACCTACCCAAATCCTGCAGCCGTTCTTCATTATGTTTGAGCCTTCATTCCCCTAATCATCTTAGATTTAATATTTTAATTATACATAAAGCTAGATTTCGTTGCAATAACAAGTCATGCTTTTGTCTTGAATTCAGTTGTGTGGTCTTAATAACAACGTGTCTTCTTCCTTGCCCATCTGGTAACAGTGAATGGTGAACAGGAGAACAGACTACAAAAAGGAAACGGGTACTTCCAAGTGCCGCCACACACACCAGTTATTTTTGGGGAGGCTGGAGGACGCACTTTGTTTAGGTACTGAAATTCTGCCAAAGAAGCCAGAGGGTGGGGCGGAGGAGGAGGTGTTGGGAGGAGCTTTTTCATCAAGCCACTAGAGTTGAAGCTGCTGAAGAGGGCCGGCCTTTGGTAGATAACATACAGGTAGTCCTTGACTTAAGCATTCAAAGTGGCCATTCAAAGTTATAATCGCACTGAAAAAAGTGACTTGTGGCCATTGTTCACAGCTTCCCCGTGGACATGGGATCAATACTTAGGTGCTTGGTAATTGGTTCATGACAGCTGCCGCATCCTAGAGTCACGTGACTCTCTTTTGCAACCTTCTGACAAGCAAATGAGGAAGCCGGATTCCTTTAACAACTGGGTTACTAATTTAACCACTGCAGTGATTCACTTAACAACCGTGGCAAGAAAGGCGACTAAATAGGGCAAAGCTCACTTAATAACTGTCTCGCTTGGCAACATAACTTCTCCACACATACACACACACACACACACAATTCAATTGTGGTCTCAAGTCAAGAACTACCTGTAGTCATGTGGTCCTTCAGTGTGGCATCTCATACTTTCTTTTTCAAACTCTTTCCCTACAGGTTGCTATGCCGAGATTCTGGTGGTGAAACTGAATCCATGCTTCTTAATGAAACTGTGCCACAATGGGTAATTGACATCACCGTGGACGTAAGTGGGCCGAGAAACCAAGAGGGTTTGGAATAACTTTATTTTCTTTCTGAAAATGTTACTGGTTGAAGCCATTAATTACAGTATGCGTCAGGTGCCATTATAATGAAGATGGAATAAACATTCTGATCTTCTGCAGCCTCTTTGTGGCTATATTTCTTACAAATCCTTGCCATTAGCCATTCGCCCTGGGATTAAAATTACTGAGGAATGTTAAAACTGCTTCACCCTGTTATAAATGGATGCTGAGATAGGTGCACCCAAGTTAGAAATTATAATTATTAGAAATTAATAATTATTAAATATTATTTTAACTTTTTCTCATGCCCACTTAAGAGAAATCTTTGAAAATCCTGGGAGAATATTTGATGTTCCTGGAATCTGAGGGAAATGATATGACCAGAAAAGAAAATTGAGCCTCAGCCTGAATTCTTGTGCCTAAGCTGAAATTTAGTTTCTAACGAAATGCAGCTAAATCTGTATCAGATGTAGATAGTCGTTGACTTACAACTGTAATGGAGCCTGCTCATTCGTCATAAGCCGTGACATGAACAGCTTGGTCATGTGATCAGTCTGATTTTGCAGCGGTCTTTAAGCAAATCTGTGGTTAAGTGAACCAAAGTTTTGCTATGGGCCAGAAGTGCCAGTTTTCAGCAAAATCCACGTAAAATGAAGTCACATGCCTGCGGGATACTGCACAGGACTGTAAACATTTTGTAGTGTAAAAAATGATTGTGTGACCATGGGGTTAGGGGGTCACAAGAACTGGAACTTTGAATCCAGGTTATAAGTAGTCCAGAACAGTGGTGGGATTCAATTTTTTTTGCTACCGATTCTGTGGGTGTGGCTTGATGGGCGGGGCAGGAAAAAGGATACTGTAAAATCTCCAGTCAGAGGTGGTAGTTGCCGGTTCTCCGAACTACTCAAAATCTCCACTACCGGTTCTCCAGAATTGGTCAGAATCTGCTGAATACCACTTCTGCTCCAAAAGTAGGCCCATCATCACTTCGAATAGTCACTAAGTGCCTATTCACAAATCAAGGACTGTGAGCATGTTCTGTGTGTATCAGATATGTTCTGAATCCCATTCTACAGGTAGTGCTCAACTTACAACCACAATTGAGCCCCAAATTTCTGTTGTTAAGTGAGACATTTGTTAAGTAAGTTTTGCCCCATTTTAAGACCTTTCTTGCCAAAGGGGTTGATCACTTTAGTTGATAAGTTAGTAACCAGATTTTTAACTGAATCTGGATTCCCCGTTGACTTTGCTTGTCAGGACGTAAAAGGGGATCACATGACCCCAGGACACTGCAAATGTCATAAATATGAGCCAGTAGCTAAACATCTAAATTTTGATCACATGATCATAGGAATACTACAAAAGTCATAACTATGAAAAACAGTCATCATAAGTCACATTTTTCAGGACCGTTTAACTTTCAACGGTCACTAAATGAACTGTTGTAAGCCGAGGACTACCTGTATATGAACTACATAAGTCTACTTCTTATAAGATTGAAAGAACATGGACTGATTTCTGCTTTTGCTTTAATTTTACAGAAAAACATGCCAAAATTTAATAAAATTCCTTTCTACCTCCAACCTCACTCCTCTTCCGGAGCAAAAACATTAAAGAAGTAAGTATTCAGCAGAGAATAAAAATGTTTCCTAGAGTATGGAAAAACCAGCTTGTCAGCTCAACACCGATTTCCATTTTGTCCCTAGGGATCGGCTCTCAGCCAGTGACATGTTGCAAGTCAGGAAGGTGATGGAGCACGTTTATGAAAAAATAATAAACCTCGACAACGAGTCCCAGACGACAAGCTCTTCCAATAATGACAAAACCGGGGAACAAGAAAAAGAGGAAGACATCGCAGTCTTAGCAGAGGAGAAGATCGAACTCTTGTGTCAAGACCAGGTAGGCAGCTCTGAGGCTCATCCTAGAAAAAGAAGGGGTGGACTGCAAGTGGGGAAAGCCTAAATCAGTGTTTCTCACCCGTGGACGGTTGAAGATGTATGGACCTCAACTCCCAGAATCGGGAAATGTTCTGGGGTAAATGTTCAAAAATGGTCCTGTACATCTGGAGTTTTGTCAGCTACATACATGACAAAAGTATAATTGTATTCAGGTTTGGGTACCATGTTTCCCCGAAAATAAGACTGGGTCTTCTACTAATTTTTGTTCCAAAAGACTCATTAGGGCTTATTTTCCGGTTAGATCTTATTTTGGGGAAAATACAGTTTCCAATGCGTCCGTCTAGCTGACAGTCTTAACCGGGGCTTATTTTTTGGGTAGGGCTTATATTACGAGCATTCTGAAAAATCTTGCTAGGGCTTATTTTCCAGTTGGGTCTTATTTTCAGGGAAACGGTATTGATTCAGCAGCTGCTTCCAAACCCCAACCCCAAAGAATGAAAAAAATAGTCCATTAAATCAATTCATCTAACCATTTTAAGATGCCGGGTGGGGAAATTGAAGCTGAAATCTACACGTCTTTAACTGGCCACGGTTGAGAAACTTTATGTTTAATGGCAAGGCTCCTCCTCAATCAGTTTTCTCAACCACTAAGTGGATGGATATGACTTTGAATAAAAAAAAAACTTTATTTTCTCTGGAATCCATGGATAAGGAGAAAGACTTCTCTCTAAGGGCAAAGTTTCCTTGGGTAACAAGCCAGCCTTGAAATGGCACTGCTTTCTTCACAAAGGGGTCACATTGTGAAGGGAACAAATCCAGCCATCTGATATAACTGATCTGGAGATCTATGCTTCTAGTCCACAAGATAAACTGAGTTATAGGTAGTCCTCCACTTACAAGAGTTTATTTAGTGACCATTCAGTTACAAAGGTACTGAAAAAAATGACATGGCCAATTTTCATACTTGTGACCATTGCGACATCCACATGGTCACATGATCAAAATTCAGGCCCTTGGCAACTGACGGGTGGGGTCATGTGATTGCCTTTTGTAACCTTCCGACAAGCAAAGTCAATGGAGAAGCCAAATTCATGTAACCACCATGTCACTAACTTAACTACTGATTCACATAGCAACTGTGTCAAGAAAGGCTGTATCATGGGACATAACTCACTTAACAAATGTTTCACTTAGCAACAGAAATTTTGGGCTCAATTGTGATCATACGTCAAGGATGATCTGTCCTTATTTTGAGCGTGGTTCTGGAGCTTGCAATTAGCTCTCAGAAGAGAAAGTTGCAGGCTTACGACAAAGTCAAGAACAAGGGGCATACTTCTTCACCTGGGGTATATTTAAATCTGACTTATTATTTTATATGACAGGTTTTGGATCCAAATATGGACCTTCGAACCGTGAAGCATTTCATATGGAAAAGTGGGGGTGATTTGACCCTTCACTACCGACAGAAATCAACGTGAGCCACCTGGTGGAACCCAACTGGTCGTTAACTAATTTGAGCTTCCTATGCTGGATCCAGCTTAGTATGCTAGAAGCCCACTTAAATGCTAAGATTTGGCGCTTTTAATGACTCAGCGCAGACAGAATCTACTTGAATTGAAGTGACTAATAAATCTGTAACATAGATGAAATTGGTATGATGTAAACTCAAAAGTTGTCTTTAGCAAGGTCAAGCAAGAGTGATATAAGAAGCCCTTAACTGGTTCCTGTTAAGGTGCCTACAGAGACAAGGTGACCCAGTGCAGGTATCTGCTGTTCTTCCTTTATTTCCAAGATGATCATCCTTTATTCACTCAAGCTTGCTATGAAAAATTTTTCAGTCCTGCTCCTAACTCATTTTCAGATTATTTTTTTTATAGGAAAAAAAAAAACCAACCTTGCATGTACTGTATTTTGCTAATACATTCCATGTAGTAAATTTTGACCACTATGCCAGATAACTCTACTTACCGTGTGACAGATTACTCTTCTTGAACAGTTTCTATAGTCTAGACTGGAGAGGCTAATGTCCCTGCTGATGATTATCTGTGATTTTTGTAGGAAAACATTTTAATTCTGACTCAAGAATCAGTAGGCTGTGTTATTACAGGGTCAGTTCAATGTGTGAACGTCACAATGAATTCATTCAGCATCTTTAACTAGAGTTCAAAATACATAATTTCCATTGTGCTAGAAGGCAGCATCCTGGTTCAGTTCCATAGGATTATATTCGATATTTGGCAGAAAACTTGACCTGGGTGATTGTTTTCCTTTAATTGTTTTGTATGTATTTTTGATGTTGTATGCTGTACACAAGCTATGCCCATCTTGGCTTTTTATTTTGCACTGTCTCTTTAAAAAAAATGTGACAGCTCTTTCATATTTGATTTGTACTCTAGTAGACCCTAATTTATTATAGAAAGTGGGAAGAAGCATCCCAGTGGCTAAACAAGAAAAACTGAATTTGTTTTGATTGAAACAGGAGCATTCTGGTAATAGTGTAAGTTTTGACTTGAAACAGAAACATAAATGCTTTTAAAAACAATCTGATACACCTGGATTTTTTCTTTCCCTTTCCTCCTGAAATTAACTTTTTTTCCCCTTATGAGTGTTGAGATTTAGACTACACCCATTACTGAAGATTTATTTGAACTGTAGGGGCATAAGGAAGAAAAACTTTGCTCTGGCATAGTTTTTTGCAGCATGGAGATGCTTGTACTCTCCCCATAGAAATAGAGAGGACCAAAGGAGTGGACATTTGACCTAAGAGTCCTGTTGGGGCTGGACATGAATTATAAGAACCAGTAAAAATGATATAGGATGTTGTTTTATTGACTAATCGTAGGATATCTTTTGGGTTATTCAGGTGTCTTTTTCTGAGTGTTTTTCTTTCAGAAGAGAATAATTTTTCTACTGACTGCTGCAGGGGAAATCGTAGTTGCTTTCAGGTATTTTCCTTTCCATTTGTATTGTGTGGTTTGTAACCACATAATATTTATTTACAGACATTGCAAGGCTGTCAGTGTGACTGTGGTGCTGGAGTTAAGATATATTTGGGTTGGCTACATGTGCTCCAGCTACCTGAAGTTATTGTTGAAGGAAGATCTGGTTCGAAAGGATGCCTGCACAGGTCTTTCATACCTTGAACCTCTTAACTTTGTGTAAATTTCATCTTTATGTACAGAATAGTTTGCCGCATCTGTGCAACATTGCAGTTGAGTGAAGTAGGTGAATTCATTGATTACAGCTAACTGTAGCTTGTCTGGAATTATAATCCTTAAAAGTCTGTAATTCAAATTTTATACCCTCCACATTGCCACCAAAAGTAATGTTAACTCTGTTTTCCTATTTTAATTTAAAAATCAGCCAAGATTTCAATTTCTACACCCAGAAGGAACCATTTCAGAAAGATTAGCAGATGGCCTGCTAATGCCAAAAGAAATATGTACTTCACAATTGTATAAAAGTAATAATAAAAAATCTTTAGCTAAAATTTTAAGCTGTTTGGGGTGTTTCCTTTTACAAGTGTTGGTTTCACTGCCGTATGAAAATGTTTTGAACTTGCTATATAACTGGGTATAGGAAATGTTTATAACCGGATGCTTTCTAAAGAACATTCCACATTTTCACGAAACTCTCCTCAGGGCATGTTACAAAACAGGGCTGTGCTGCTTTCTTCAATTAAAATGTAGTGCAAAGTACAATATGAGCATAGGTCAATGGCTGCCGATTCTTGACATCTCATCTTCCTGTGCCTGGCAGAACCCTGTGAAAATGTTTGGAGCACTCTCGAGAGCAGGGTGCTTCTTAAACAGCCTTATGAGACAAAAGAAGCTAAGAGGCTTGTCTAGAAGGTTTGCTGGCATGGGCTTCACAGCATGAACAGTGTTTGCCCTATTGACACGGAACATGGCTGCCAGTTTAAAAAGCCATAAACGCCAGGAGGCCAGGACAGTTGAAGAACCAGCTCCCGGAATCTCTGCATAGATTAAGGCGACATTTTTTTAACTCCCCAAAATCCCCAGGCAAGGTGCTGGGAGTCTGCATACCCTAAAGCTGCTGACTTTGAGATAATGCTGGTCTAAGATACCTTCTTTTCAAGCGGTCTGTGCTATTAATCAGTTGATGGGACCTTGAGGTAGGAATTTTAGTATGTCAAGAGTCCCTCTTGGGCAACTCAAGTTTAAGCAAATTGTACTTTTATTGTGTTCAGCTTGCCTTTATGTGGGCCTGCTACTGTCAAAACGTCTTAACTTAGGACTGGTTCCACGAGATATTTGAGACAATACGCATTCCACTGTAAATCATTGCGAGACTTTTAGTAGCTGACAACGTACCAAGTTAAAGAAATTCTAAAAACAACAATAAAATGGCTTCAAATTAGAATAAATCTCTCTTAAAAACAAAGATGGGCAACTTTCGCAATCTTTAAAAATAAAGTTTAGACACAACTGACCAAAAATGACCCTTGAAAGCCCAATCCTCTCAATCTCGACCACTTTTAAGGTATGGGGACATCAACTCCCAGAATTCTCCAGCCGGTCTCTGCTGGCTAGGGAATTCTGGGAGTTAGAAGTCCATACTTCTTAAAAGTGTCTGAGGTTGAGAAGCACCTGATTTAGTGTTTGCTCCAATTTGCTCCATTATTCACATTAGAAGCAATCTTGCTCTTTTTTTTTTCATATAAGCAGAAAAGAATGCTTCCACTTTTAAGAGGCACCACTGCATTAACAAGATGACCAGTTATTTGCTTGGTAGCATGCACCTCAAATTAAATATTATTTAGTGCCATTGTACTAACCTCTCGCCAGACATAACAGTGGCTTGTAACAGTAATCGACCAAGCCTCTGTCACAGCATGAAGCAACAGCTCTTAATTTAGAACAGAAATTAAGAACCCTACATTGCTAATGTCCTTTGATTCTTCAACTACTATTCCGAGAGAGTTTTCGTGGGGTTGTATATAAACTTTCTGCAGCAGCGAATAATGATTATAGCTCTCTAGGGTGAAACATAAAACAGAGGTTAGGGGAAATTCCCAGTCCAATGTACTTACATAATGAGATTGCATTTTTTTATACGTGGACACCTCTCTTACTGAAACCCAAACTATCCCATTCATGAAATCTGCTGGGGTCAGGGAAAGCAGCATACTTCTTTGGGATCTTGCATTGGGATCTTAATTCTCACATGTTTCAGAAAGCTTTGAGTGCACATCAGAGGTCAAATGGCTCAAACAAGACTAAAACGGGTTGGTTTTTGTTATGGGTTAGGTGGGATTTTAGAGTAAAAGATCAAGGTATTCTTCCTATTAAAATTCTAAGTTAAAACTTTTCAAATAAAATCACCTTAAAAGCCTTACCTTAAGGCAGGGATGAGCAACTAAGGAAACCATACAACAGGTGGCCTTCAATTCCCAGAATTCTGGGAGTTGAAGTCCATGCTTACTATAAGGAGTTTTTCTGCATTTCTTATCAGCTGCACTTGGCTAAAAGTCTTACCGTAAGGCAGGGATGAGCAACTATGGCAACTTTACGACATGTGGGCTTCAACTCCCAAAATTGCTGAGCCAGCTGGCTCAGGAATTCTGGGAGTTGAAGTATCAGTTTTCCTGCATTTCTTATCAGCTGCGCTCGGGAACAAATGCTTCCAGGACGTCTTCCTGTTCCCTTCCAGCTCTTTATAGCAATGGAGGGGAGGGGAAGGGAATTTGGGAAGGAAATATAGAGCAAAATAGGTGCATTAAGCCAAAGAAGCTTAAGGCACCTCTTTTAAGATTTAAAAACTCAAAAAACAAATCTGAAAAGCCAACACCAATTCCTACCTATCTGGTGCAGCTGGTATTGCTCAAAGAGCCCTTCCTTTTTTAAAATGTCTGAGCAGCTAGAGACAAGCTCTTTAAAAAAGAAAAAAGAAAAAAGAATTATGTTTCTAAACTCCGACCATTAGTATTACCACTAAGCAGAACTAACGTGGGTATACAGGCTCCAAAGTCAATAGTGTGACTGAAGGAAGATGAATTCTACCGCGATCCAGAAACCAATCAAAGGTTTCTGCAGCACACAAAACCAGCACTTTCTGGTGCCAATGGCTTCAAAGCCCCAAAGGTGAAACGTGTCCTCTGAAAAGCTAGGCCTCTTGGGTTTCATCAATCAATTCCTGGGTGCTTTTGTCGCTGCCGTCTGTTTTGGGTGGTATGGGGGTCTCAGCCCCACTTAGGGGTCGGGCAGTTTCCTGAGCATTGGCATCCAGTCCGGGTGACCTGTCCCTAGGAAGGGCTGGTGGAGGAGACACGGAAGGCCTTCCCTCGAGGAATTCGGGAGGAGAGCTCTCGTCCGCTTGAAGAGATACCGATTCTTCTGAGAACGGAAGAGAGGCCTGGTCTGAAAACAAACAAACAAACAAACAAACGTCTGTAGTACAGGTAGTCCTCGACTTGCAACGAACAGTTCATTTAATGACTGCTCCAAGTTACAACTGCACTGAAAAAAGTGACTTATAACCATTTTTCACACTTATGACCACTGCAGCATCCCCATGGTCACGTGATCAAAATTTAGACACTTGGCAACTGATTCATATTTATGACCATGGCAATATCCCGGGGTCATGTCATCCCCTTTTGTGACCTTCTGACAAGCAAATTCAATGGGGGAAGCCAGATTCACTTAACAACCATGCTACTAACTTAACAACTACAGTGATTCACTTAACAATTGTGGCAAGAAATAAGGCAAAGATCAGTTAATAACTATCTCGCTTAGCAATAGAAATTTGTGGTCATAAGTGGAGGACTAACTATATTTACGAAGGGCAGTGGGCACAGATCTTGCTGATATTTGAAAAAAGAAATGGCATGAACTTTTCTGAAACAAAATGATCTCGGATTGAATACTGCTCATGGTTAGTAAGGATATCGTCTCCCAAATACTTTTCCATTCTGACATATCACTTTCAAGGCAGTTCGCTCTCCCTCTCTCTCTGTGCCCACATAGGGATTCCAGACTAATTCCCCGTTTGACTCCTCTCCCTAGCTCGGCCAGTCTCTGTCCAACATGCAGATCATTTATTACAGTGTTTCCCAACCTTAGCCGTTTTAAGATGCATTTCAACTCCCAGAATTCCCCAGAATGCTGATTGAGGTATTCTGGGAGTCGAAATCCCCTCACCCTAAAATGGCCACAGTTAAGAAGCATCAATATATTTTATGAATATTAAATGTTCAAATTGGTTTCCATTTTCTTCTAAAATTCATTTGGCGTAGGGCTTTTGAACATTCCTAAGTACAGTGACATTTTTTTTCCTGAAAATAATAATAATAAAACATGCTGATTGGCCTATAGGGCTGGGTTTTGGTACTTCTTCTGTATTAAATATTCATTAACGCACACATACACATTCATTATATAAATATTAAACTGTTTGCACACATGCTTTCAGAATATTCATGAAGGTATCTGCAATTTTTTTAACCAGGTTACAGATAGCTCACGACCACAGCTGAGCCCAGAATTTGTGGGCTAAAGTGAAACATTTGTTCAGTGAATTTTGTCCCATTTTATGACCTATCTTGCTGTAAAGTGAATCACTGCAGTTGTTAGTAACACGGTTAAGTGAATCTGCCTTCCTCATTGACTTTGCTCATCAAAAGGTTGCAAAAGGGGATCACATGACCCCCCAGGGACACTGCGACCATCATAAATGGGAAATCAGTTACCAAGCATCTCGAGATGCTACAATGGTCGTAAGTATGAGAAATGGTCATAAGTCATTTTCTTCAGTGCCATTGTAACTTTGGTCATTAAATGAAGTGTTTCTAATTCGAGAACTACCTGCATTTTGACAGAGAACTCATCCCTGGGTGAAGATACATATGACTGGCCAATGAATTTTAGCCACCGTAATTCTCCATAAAGTTTATAAAGTTGTTCAGACATTTTCATCAACATGTAGTGCCTGTTTAGATAATGTCTGCTCTACGAGGTAAGGAAGGGGGAGAAACAAGTAAGTTTACTAAAATCTATCCAATATTGCATTTTATTCATTACGGTGGAAAGACTTCAAGTCTTTTAAGATGCTACAAAAAAGCATTTCTATCTTGAAATACTAAAATTACAGCCTTTGGCTGGTCTCAAAAATCTAGCCATAGTATGTGTAGTTACTATTTAGATAGGAGAGCACCAAGAAATCCTAGAGCAGTAAGGGAAGGTAGATTGGGGATTTGAAAGAAAATACTAGGAAAAAAAGTAATGAAAAAACACATCTATATTGCTGCTAAGGAGTTGAGCTTGAAGGAGTTGTTTTTTTAGATAGTCAACTCTTACAACCATCTGTTCAGAGACTGTTCAAAGTTACTGTACAACGGTACTGAAAAAAATGACTTACAACTCACACTTACAATTGTTGATGGGATCAAAATTTTGGCACTTGCATTTTTTTATGGTGGTCGCAGCATCCCAGCATCCTGTGATTCATCATTTACAACCTTCCCAGCCGGCTTTCAACAAGCAAAGTCAATGGGGGAATCCAGATTCACTTAACAACCACGTGATTCACTTAACAATTGTAGTGATTTGTTTAATCACCACAGTAAAATCTCATTGAACAACCGCCTTCCTTAAACAACAGAAATTCTGGTCCCGACTCTGATCATAAGGACTACCAGTATTTTGGACATGCCAAAAATCCTAATTCTCTTTATGATTCAAGCGGATGTGATTATTTCTTGGTGATTCGCCGTTATTGATTTTTATACCACTCTAATCTTACAGCTCCCGTGTCATTTCCACAACAATATTTACATTATAAATGTTCACAGGAGAGAAATAAAAGCAGAAACAAGAAATAAATCACCACAGTGATAAAAGTATGTAGCATGGGCCTTCCTCCTTTTATCTTTTCAGGCCAAACGGCTTCTAACTCTGCTTACCAAAATATGAAGGAGTTTCACTATGTGTGGATAAGCTTCCAGAAGCTTCCAGAACATCTGATAAGGTGACAGAAGGAGAGGAAGGCACGTGGGCTGTTTTTACTAAGTCAATTAATTCAGGAAAAGAAGCTCCAGACATATCTATAAAATCTGCAGGGAGAAGAAAACACGAAAGGAAAGAAAGAAAAACAAAAATATGCCTGACCAAACTATCAGACAAGCTAACCAGAACCAAAACAATTTTAACAGCACAGAGAACATTCTGGTTTCCTCTTTGATACAACAGAACTGAACATCAGGGAGATATACCGCTAGTGCTGTGGTTTCTTGACTTGTACGAATGAGTGTGGGCCATCCTGGTTTATTTTACTCAGTCAGTGTGTAAATATAAGCGACTTAAGAGTCTTCTGGAACCATGCTACCCTGCTGTACCAAAATAAGAGTGAGGAGGGCTGATTTCATACATCTCGGACCTGGGATTGGAAGATGCTTAGAAAATTCTCGGTCATTAAAAGAGGACATGGGTGTGAAGATGTAGAGGAAAGGATTTTGCAAGGAAAAGAATCAGAAAGGTGACCAAACAAGCCTTTGCGGTGATAAATGTTCCCGCTGCATTCCTGCACACCTTTTTCGTTCTCTGCAGGAAAAATGCCTTGCACATTTTGTCTAGTAGTCAGAGGCCAAGAAATTAAGCTCGTATATCTGCAGACGTTGCCCTGATGTGAAGCACCTTATGCAGTGCTTTGCCCAACCCGCTATCCCTTTGAGGCGCTGGGCCACAAGTCCCTTAAATGTCAGCATGGGTGGGAAAATAAATAAAAGGAGAGATTCCGAATTACCTGGATCCATGACTCTCTGGACAGGAGGAGGAGGAGGAGCGGGAGGAAGGTGCGGGGAATTTTCTAATGAATAGGCAGTCACGCTTTGATTGGAGATGTGGCCCAAACTCTCGGTTTCTTCGGTTTTGGGGTGAGGTGCCATCAAGGAAGCCTAAAATAAAAGAATCCGTTTTGACTGCCTGGGGGGACGACCTGACCTCACCGCCATTCAGGTGCCTCCTAGGCAGCCTCTTGCTCTGCCGAACAACACAGGTAGTGGCCGAATTCCCAGATTATTCTTCAGGCTCAATTTGGCCAATCAAATGCATTACCGATTAGATTTTACGTCCTACCTTCCCCTCAAGAGCTCTTCAAGATGTTGGATGAGGCACTCCTGTTTTCCTCCACAACAACTCTGCGGGGTAGGCTGGACTGAATGAGAGCGCAACTGGCCCAGAGTTCTCTGGTGGTCTGGAGAACTGAACTTAAGCCCCCCAAGTTCCTAGTCCAGGATCTTAATTTCATACGGGACTAACCTTTATTTAAGAAATTACTGGTTTAAAATGATAGTGCAGGTAGTCCTCTACTTATGACCACAATTGAGTCCAAAATTTCTGTTGCTAAGCGAGACATTTGTTAAATTGAGCTTTGCCTCATTTTATGACCTTTCTTGCCACAACTGTTAAGTGAATCACTGCAGTTGATAAGTTGGCAATCTGGTTTTAAGGGAACGTGGCTCCCCTTGTCAGAAGGTCGCAAAAGGGGATAAACTGATCTTGGGACACTGCAAGCGTCATAAACATGAGTCAGTTACGAAGCGTCCAAATTTTCATCATGCAACCATGGAGATGCTGCAACGGTCATAAGTACGAAAGAAGGTCATAAGTAACTTTTTTCAGTTCCGTTGTAAACTCAATCACTAAACGAACTTGTTAAGTCGAGGACTATCTCTAATTGGGACAGGGAATTCCCAATTAGGGAGTCCTAAAATGAAAACCTTTTCTGTTTTACATTGTGAGGACTACCCGTACTGTGGCAGGGTAGGGGTATTATTTGCCAGAAAAAGAAAGAAGATGGAATTACATGGACTCTTTCAGAAGGAACTCCGACTAAAACTTGGATGGGCCACATTTTTTGCCCCCAGGCTGGAGGTAGATACCCTTTTAGTGCCTTTTTCCTCACAGTCAAAGGTCCAGGAAGCAGGGCAATAATTCAAGGGCATCATTAGAAGGACAGGACCAGAATAGCAACAGCAATAACATTTAGACATATGTATCCCGCTACAGCGCTTTTACAGCCCTCTCAGAGCCAGCCTCTTGCCCCCAACCATCTGGGTCCTCGGAAGGATCGAAGGCTGAGTCAATCTTCAACTGGGGAGAATCAAACTTCTTGCAGTCAGCAGAATTAGCCTGCAATACTACCTTCTAATCACTGCACCACCACAGCTCTTCGTGGTGGCCGGGAATACAGAGTAACACAGTTGGAAAGGACCTCGCAGGTCATCTTATACAACCCCCTATAGCCTATAAACCATTTCAGACAAATGGCTGCCCAAATCTCTTCTTAAAAACCTTCCAGTGTTGGAGAATTCACAACTTCTGGAGGCAAGTTGTTCCACCGATTAATTATTCTCCCTGTCAGGAAATTTCTCCTTAGTTCTAGGTTGGATCTCCCCATGATTAGTTTCCACCCATTGCTTCTTGTCCTGCCCTCGGGTGCTTTGGAGAATAGCTTGACTCCCTCTTCTTTGGGGCAGCCCCTGAGATACTGGAATGCTGCTATCATGCCTCCCTTAGTCCTACTCTTCACTAGACTAGACATACCCAATTCCTTCATATGTTTTAGCCTCCAGTCCACTAATCTTTTTGGCTCTTTTCTGCACTTTTCATAGTCTTCCTTTGTATCTCAGTGACCCAAATTGGATGCAGTATTCCCTGTGTAGTCTTACCAAAGCAGCATAAAGCACTGGACCAGAATATTTTGACTTCTTAAAATAACTCAGGCTAAGCAAGGAAGGGGGCAAACAAAATAAGATAATCAGAAATTTAATGCATCCATCTTATGCCACAGTTCTTTGGCTACCAACCTCCACATTTCAGCAGCAAGAACTGAAGAGGCCTGCGATACCCCCCCACTCCAGCTAAAAAATTTGCTCGCAAGGTGTACAGGAGTTAATTGAGCCACGTCCAGAATGAAACCTCCTTACCTCCACGTAGCCATTAGCTGGGGATTCGATCAGTGAGTCTCCAGAGGGCAAAAAAGAAGAGATCTCAGCTGCTCTCTTTGGGGCAGCAGCCTGTGTGGGAATTCGGTGCAGGTAGCCATATCCAATGCCACATCCTAAGCTGCACGAGAAAGTGAATGTCGTCAGAAATAGGGTGCACACTCTGGTTTTTAAAACATAACAGGGGGGCTGCAAACAGGAACCCCACTATTAAGGGAAACTCTACTTTCTGTGTCTTCAAATTTTTTATTAGTTTATCAGACTATAAAAATACAAAGTTAAAATTAAAATAACGGGAAACTGGGGGAAGAAAAAGGGGAAGAGGGAAAGTGTGGGATAGAAGAGGACAAAGAAAAAAGGTTGTTTTTTTTTAGCACACTGCAAAATATTACAGCCTCAACGTTTTACTTTTCCACAATAATATGTACAGATAGTCCTTGATTTACAACAGTTCATTTAGTGGCCATTCAAAGTTACAGCGGCACTGAAAAATGTGACTTAAGACTGTTTTTCACACTTACGACCATTGCAGCATCCCCAAGGTTACATGATCAAAATCTACCGCTTGGCGACTGATTCATATTTATGACAGCTGCAGTGTCTCGGGGTTATGCGATCTCCTTTTGTGACCTTCTGACAAGTAAAAAGTCAATGGGGGAGCCAGAGCCAGATTCACTAACTTAACAACTGTAGTGATTCACTTAATAACTGTGGCAAGAAAGGTAGCAAAATGGGGCAAACTCACTTAACAAATGTTTAACTCAGCAACTGAAATTTGGGGCTTACTTGTGGTTGTAAATCGAGGACTACCTGCACTAGCTATTTGTACAACAACAAATCTATCTAATCAGCAAAACCAAAATTTCATTTTTTCCCTTAAATCACAAGCACACAATCCAGAAGTGGTTTCCAAATGAAAACAAAATTAGGCACGTTCTTTTCTTTGAATAAAGCAATCAGTTTAATCATCTCTACTTTTCCCCCTTTGCTGTGGGAGATTATAGGAAATACCAACTGTTGAGTGATTGCAAAGTGCTACTATGACTTTGCCCCACAGATTCTGAAGGGAAAAAAAGGAGGGAGGACTAAGAACTGCCCACCTCCCAATCAATCAAACAGAACAGAGCTGAAAGGGACCTTGGAGGTCTTCTAGTCCAACCCCCTGCTCAAGCAGGAGATCCTATACCCGTAATGGTGAACTGCCATTTATGCTGGCATGCGAGCCGCAGGCAAACTTACCTCACTGCACATGCTGCCCCTCACAGCTGATTTCTCCCCCCCGGTTAATTTGAGGCCTTTTTCGGCTTCCCAGAGGCTTCGAAAAAGCCTCTGCAAGGCAATTATAGGCCCGTTTCGTCACTTCCTGTAATACCAGAAGGGACAAAACCGGCCTATCATTTGGCCTGAGGAGCCCTGAAGAGGCTTTTTCCAAGCCTCTGGGAGGCCGAAGAACGCCTCAAACCATCCGAAAAATCAGCTGTGAGGCGCAGTGCAGGTAAGCGGGTGGGGATTGTGCGTGCATGCGCAGGGGGTGTGGGGAGGGGGGGAGCACATTGCATTCTGGGTGCTGGCCCACGAGTACGGGTGTGCTGGCGCACTCGCAATTTTTGGCACAGGAGCCCAAAATGGTTAGCCGCCACTGCCCTATACCATTTCAGATAGGTAGTTGTTCAGTCTTTTCTTAAAATAAGTTGCCTTCTGAAGGCAACTTATTTCACTGGTTAATATCAGGAAATAATTCCTTAATTCCAGGTTGCTTCTCTCCTTGTTTCGTTTCCATCCACTCTGATCCCTTGTTCTGCCTTCCGGTGCTTTCATACCTTCCTTCGCCACCCCAGGCTCCGTTGGGCGTTACAAAAACCTCTCGGCAGGAATCCGTTTCTGTGTTGTAGACCACCAGCTTCAGAGGCTTTCCCTCATGGGAATCAATCAAGGAGAAGAAATCTTCAGACTGAACAAAAGAGAGATCCGTCATTCAGAGTCTGCAGCAAACATGCCACCCTGGTTGGGTTCCCTTTCCGTGCCTGGACCCAGGAGGATGCTGGCTCCCTCTGCTCCATCGTTATGGGATGAAAGATCACTATGATTTTACTGTTCTGTCTTTTAATCGCTGGCTGAATCTTTTAATCGCTGGCTGAAGACAGGCAGACATACTCTACAAAGGCTTCCATACAAAGTTTCCTTATTGGTTCACAAGGCATTCTCAAGCTGTAACTCACGGTTATGTCGAGATTCATCTAATGTCTAACTATTTGCACAGATGACTTCATAGTGTAAAATTATAGTGATCTTTCATCCCATAACGATGGAGCAGAGGGAGCCAGCATGCTGCCGGGTCCAGGCAAGGAAAGGGAACCAAGGGCTTCCCCCAACCCAACCAAGGGTCAATTTAGTGACCAATCAGGATTACAGATGTGACATGACATGGACTACATTTCCCATGATGCCTTAATTACATTTCCCATGATGCATTCCCCTAAGGAGACAGCTCCCAATTCCCACTTAACTATCCCAATTCCGAATTAACTATATACTGTCTGGAGCACACTTCCCATTTATACCACCACCAGCCTCCCAGTTTCTGGAATAAAGCATTAGGGGAGAGAATTTACAGCCTGTTCTTTGATCAGGGAGACACCCCCTGCAGCCCCCCCATCAATGGATAAGTTGGTTTTCCAGCACAATGAAGGAACGAGTCAAGATCATTGGGGTCCCTTTCAATTCCACTTCTTAAAAGGCTCAATCATGGCAACTGGGCCACAGTTTATTAAAACGGAGGCGTTTCGTTACTCGTCTAAGTAACTTCTTCGGTCAAAATGAGAATTTGGATAGGCAGAGAGAGAGTCAGAGAGCTGTTGGAAAGAACCAACTCTTGGCCTACAGATCGCAGGGAGGTTTCTCCCCAAAATGAAAAGCAACATGTAAACGGAGATTTAATCATCCAGGCCTTAAAGTGTATTAAAAAGTTAAAATCATGGTAACCGGACCAAAGTTTATTAAAACTGAGACGTTTAGAAGTCATTTGGATGAGTAACAAAATGTCTGAGTTTTCATAAAGTTTGGTCTGGTTGCCATGATGTAGCCTTTTAAGATACTTTTGGCCTGAATCTTTGAAACTTCATTTGCATGTTTCAATTCCAGTTTTAGGATGCCGTGCTCTCCGCGCCATCCTTAGAAAACGCCTCAAAATATAGCAAAACACAAAAGTGCCACGTTCTTCAACCCTGCAATCACAGAACCAAGCCTAGGAAATATTCACAGCCACCATCACACTGAAGACCAATCTCTCCTGACTTCACTTCGGAGTCTAGTTATAATTCTTCTGAATCTTTTTACCTCGTGGAGTATCTGATCCGATCCAATTACATAATCAGAATGGGGCTTCAGGCCAGCTAAGGCTGCCGGAGAAGCTGGCTCCACATCCTAGACAAGAGAAAAAGACCATGGTTATGGCTACAGGTGACGTTACTCAAGCATATTCAACAAAGCCAGTGGGGGAAAAGCCCTTTAATTCAGTGCTTCGTAAACCTTTCTGAGAGGTGTGTAGGTGTGGGGAGGGTCTTGACTCCTTTTGCACAACTACCCACAAAAGTCCCAGCAGTTTTCCTGGCAAGGTTTTGGAACTGGTTTGCTATGGCTTTCCTAGGACCGAGAGGGAGGAACTGGCCCAATGTCACAAAGCGAACCACGTCTAAGGCAGGATGAGAATTCACCATTTTCTGGTTTCTAATCAGATTTTATTTATGTATCTCCCACCTTTGTTATTTTTGTAACTCAAGTTGGCCAGCATACATAGTCCTCCTTCCTCCATCTGTTTCCCCCAATACCGTGTCAGTGAGTTCGCTACGATGAGTGACTCACCCAGCCAGCTCTCGTGGCTAAGGAGAGGGGAGAACTCAGGTGTCTGCCAGTTTATAGCCTAGCGCCTTAGCCGCTGCACCCAACTATTCCAAGGAAATCTCATGAACTGTGAGATAAGAAGATGGATCAATGTGTTGTTGTTGTTGTTGTTGTTGTTTTTGGGGGGGAAACACTTGTTCCTCGTTTTAAATATGGTGTAATGAAAAAGTTCCTTGCATTTCTGTTTTTCATCAAAAAAAAGTTCTACCCTATGTTAAGGATGCAAATGTTTCTATTCTAATTAAGTATGATTGCATTCTGTAATATGCAACAGGTCTTTTTTTCTCCTGCAAATTGACTTTTCTAATGCAGATTAATTGCAGGAATTAACTTATTAACAAATAATTTTTAATTCTATCCAAGATAGAGGTGGCAGAACTGAGGGCACAAAAGAGCAGTACATGTGCTTTGGCCAAGCACCAGGAACATCTAAGTGGTGCCCCACCTAAACAAAATAATATCTTCTAATATACTTAATTGGCAAAGCAAGCAAATTAGTGCGCAAAAAGTTCCTAAAAGGACAGAGATTTGAAAGCTGCGCCCTAAATCAAAAGGGGGGGCACAGGAGAAACACCACAATTTCCTCAAAAATAATCCTTCTAAGGTAGTCTCCATCTTATGACCACAGTGGGAGAGTTCAGAATTTGTTGCTAAGCGGTGACATCGAATCACATCTGTTTTTCCAACCTTTCTGACCGTGGTCATTAAGTGAATCTGTTTTCCTCCCACTGCCTTCACTCATTGGAAAACCCCTGGCAAGGTTGCAAATGGGGATCATGTGACCCTGGAACGCTGCAATTGTAGTAAATCAATGCTAGCAGTGGCCAAGCGCCTGAATTCTGATCATGAGAGGGTGAGGCTGGTCTAGGGTCACGCGAGAATTGGCCATAGGTCGCTTTTTTCAGCACTGTTGTAACCTTCAAAAGGTTATTAAAATGAGTGGGTCGTAAGTCGAGGACCACTTGTAAAGTTCTAAGTGAAGTTCTCAAGCTAGACTCATCCTAACTCCATGGGAAGGCCATGTTTTTTTTCCCCTCTGGGAGCAACACGGTGGTTTTCCTTCCTGCCCAGCTTACATGACTGGTTTTCTGTACTGACCTTGCAAAGTATTGCAGATCAGCCAAGGGCAGCTGGATTATTCCCAGGCATTCTGAGAGTTGCAGTCCACGCAGCTTAAAGTTGCTGCGGTTGGGCTGGCAACACTGATCCGGAAGATGTAGCTGATACAAAATGCAGCTGTGCTGGGTTTATACCTGAACTGCCCTCGATGCCAAATCCTTTCTGGGTTCAATTCAAAGTGCTGGTAGTTACATCATAAATAGTTCTCCATGGCATAGATTGGCCAGGTTATTTGCAGGATCACTTCTCCCCTGTCCATGTCTACCCATCCCTTCAAGTCTGGCACTAGAGCAGGGGTGGGATTCAAATTTCTTAACAACCGGTTCTGTGGCCTAATTTGTGGGTGTGGCTTGGTGGTCATGTGACTGGGTGGGCGTGGCTTGTTGACTGGGTATGGCTTGGTGGTCATGGCTTGTATGTAAATATTATAAATATTGATGTAAATATTGATTTTTTTATATAAAAGAGCAACTTTTATCCAAAAGCAGGAAAAGCAGGCAGGCAGATTGAGTTGCTCACAGAACCACAGATTAACTTAGAGATCTATCAATCTGCAATCGGCTACCTGAGTCTGCACTGAAAAGTAGAAGCTTCAGTCCTAAGGTTCAGCTCTGCTTTTAGATTAGCTAGAAAGCAAGAAATCCAAGGACTTCCTGCTTTCTAGCTAATCTAAATCTCCTGGCAGAACAGCTGATGGTCGGGGGGGGGGGGGGGAGGGAAAAATAGCAACTTACCAAACCAGGCAAGTTGGATGGCTCGCGTGGCAGGTAAGGGGTGAGTGAGTGGGCGGGGAGGGGAGGGGCCAGCCAGCGGAGCGCTTTGCTGGTTCTCTGAACTGCAGACAATCGTGGGTGCGGCGTTTGCAAGAAATCATCAGCTGTGCTGCCTGGACAGCTGACAAGTTCTGTGCTTGGGTGTGCAGTGTTTAAAAATCCTTGTTTCCTGCTTTTTCAACCTCAGCTGTGCCGCGCAAAGCAGCTGCGGAGGGAAAAGCAGGGAATAAAGGACAGCCTAGAGCCCGGGCAGGTGGGTGGGCCAAACACTGAACCGGTTGGGTGTCAGCTGCTTTTCCCAGCTACAGGATCTATAGAACCGGGCCAAACCGGTATCATCCCACCCCTGGACTAGAGGCATGCTACGGACCCCATCCATTGAAGAACCCACCCAAAGAACCTTCTGGAACCTCGTCTCCCCCACAGATTATATCAGCCCCAATTTCTGTTGGCCTTTTGAACATCCTTGAAGTCTTGGCTAGCTCGCCGTGCACAGGAGTCGGAGTGTCTGCTCAAGCCTCTGAAATAGTTTTGTCTGTACTACACAGGTAGTCCTCCACTTATGACCAAAATTTATGTTGGTGAGAAACTTATTAAGCGAGTTTTGACCCGTTTCATGACTTTTCTTGCCACACGTTTTGAACAAATCACTGCAGCTGTTAAATTAGCAACATGGTTTTGAAGTGAATCCGGCTTCCCCATCGACTTTGCTTGTCAGAAGGTCGCGAAAGGGGATTGTGCGGCCCTGGGACAATGCAGCCGTTTCACAGGAACTCAAGGAGCCCCCCCCCCAACCTGTCTAACTCAGATGCACCTTTTGAAGGACCACCTCCCCTTGCTCATTCAGAGTAGGAAGGCAGGATAGATTACGGGTCCCGCCTAGATCATTGATGGGGCAGAGAAGCAGGGCCTTCTCCGTAGTGGCCCCCTCCCTTTGGAACATCATCCCCAAGGCAATGAAGCTGGCCTCATCCTTGTTATTTTTCTGGAAGGCTCTGAAGAAAGGTTATCTCAGCAGGTCTGAGGATCTCAGCTTGTTTTGGAGCTTTGTATGATTGTGTTTGTCATCGCCAAAGGGCATGGGGATTTCTGGAATTTTCATATTGTTGAGTCTTTAATGCTATAGGCCACCTGGAATCGTTGTGAGTGGGGCAGTCTGTCTGTCTGATTTATATGGCCACCCACTACTCTCAGTGAGCAGCCTACAAACAATAAAAGAAGAATATAAAAAGAATAAAAACAATAGCACACAACACATAACACTCCACGGCGATAACAAGCAATTAAACCAGCCACTTGATGAGCTCCACCCCACTCTGGTTTGTTGGCAAAGGCCAGGTCTTCAGGACCTTGTGAAAGAGTGTTAAAATGGGGGCCAGTTTAATCCCTGAGGGGACGAAGTTCCACAGGGAGGGAGCCACCACGGAGAAGGCCCTTCTTCTGGATCCTGCCAGATTAGGAGATGGGACCTGCCACAATCCCTGCATCCCACTCTGGTGGGTCAGGTAGATGGAGCCGGAAAGAGATGGTCCTTCAGATAAGCTGCTAATAAACATGCAAGGGGTCTCTTCTTCCAGCAGTGCTTCTCAGCAGCTAAAATCTGATCACCCGGCTGTGGTTCAAGATAACTAATCAGGACTAGCAATCACAGAAAGCCCAATGCAACACAGAGTTCCACTTTCCTGCTTACCAGCACATGCCAGACGTGTTCATTGGCACCTTGGAAACTGCAGAATCGCACACTGGCCCCTAGCAGTCCCTGCCCTCCCCACATGTTGCTGGGGATGATCTCCACTTCCCGCACTTTCATCGATTTTATGTTGTAGACTTCCAGTTTCACAGCTTTCTCAACGTTGGCTTTTAGTAGATCTTTCAGGGTGTCGCCTTCTTTATTCTATATGCAGGGGAGGGGTTAAAAAAAAATTAAAGGCCTTGTATCTGGACATGGTAGCAAACACATTAAAAAAAAGCCTACAATGGAAGCATCTGTGGCCAAAAAAGGCAGGAAACAATGTTTCATTCATTGATTGACTGATTGACTCATTCATTCATTCTAGAGGGTGAGCCATTCTTCCAGCTCGGTTCTTTCCAAATCTGAAAAGAAATTTAAACTTAAATTTTACAGTTGTTGATGGAAAGCATGTCCCACTCAACCTACTTCCAGATTAAGTACAGACTTATCACTCATTTGGTGAAGTTACAGAGCCATTGGAAAAAAGTGGCGTGATTGTTTTCACACTTATGACCATTGCGGCTTCCCCATGGTCACGTGATCAAAATTCAGTACTCGCAACTGGCTCATATTTATGACAGTTGCACTAAGCTGGGGGTCATGTGATCACCATTTGTAACCTTTCTAGCAGGCTTCCAACAAGCAAAGGTAAGCCAGATTAATTTAATGACCGCATGACATTCACTCAATAATTGCAGTGATTTGCGTAACAACTGTGACAAAAAAGGTTGTTAAAATGGGCACAACTCACTTAACAACTATCTTGCTTAGCAACAGAAATTCTGGGCTCCAATGTGGTCATGTTGAGGATTAGCTATACTGTAAATTGGTGTAAATTTACTGACCAATTTTATTTGGGGTTAGTAAAAAATTAGAGTGGAATGTGGCAATATTAGTATTTATTTTGGTTTGGGAGGTTTATTTTGTTTAACAGATGTTTGAGGTTTTGAAAATTTATGATGGCAAATCCAGATGTTTATTCATACAAACAGAAGTTGCTGCCTTAAAACAGGATCTGCATAAGAAAAGTCCAACATTTCTGTCCTGATATTTTTGTTTTTTTAAAAAAATGCAATGCTTCTTAAGGCATCTTTTGGCCCAAATATGAAAACATGACTTCTAAGCAAATAGGTCTAGATAAAAATGATAATACAGGTAGTCCTCAACTTACAACAGTTCATTTAGTGACCGTTCAAAGTTACAACAGCACTGAAAAAAAAATGACTTATGACCGCTTTTCACATTTTGCAGCATCCCTGTGATCCTGTGATCAAAATTCAGACAGTTGGCAACTGACTCATATTTATGACGGTTGCAGTGCCCTGGGTGGGTGTGTAGGTGTGTCACGTGATCCGCCTTTTGCGACCTTCTGACAAGCCAATGGGGAAGCCTAATAATCGTGCTACTAACTTAACAACTGCGGAGATTCACTTAACAATGGTGGCAAGAAAAATCATAAAACGGGGCAAACTCACTTAACAAATACCTCAACTTAAAAACTGAAAGTTTGGGCTCAATTGTGGTTGTAGGTCGAGGACTACCTGTACTCAGGATGACAGGCTGCCACGTCGACTAAATGAAGTAACAGCTGGAAGTTACCAGCTAGACGTCTTCCTCGTCTCTGTGTGCCTTTGTCGAGCAGCTTTTAATCTGTTGATTATTAACGAGGAGGATTATAATTGGTCAAATATTGAGAGTTGATTTTGGTGACTCAGCAAAGAAGTCAACATCCTCCCTTGTCTTCCTTCCAAAGCTGGGCCAAAAGGTTGCACCAAACAGGCTTGAATGCTCAAAAGCTCAAAGACGTTTCAAGCTGAGAAGAGGCGGGACGTGTTCTCACCACATAATCAGGTTGGCATTATAGTAACTGTTGCAGGTGGTGCTTGATTTACAAGCGCTCCTTTAGTGACCAAAGTTACAATAGCACTGGGTGTGTGTGTGTGTGTGTGTGACTTATAAGTTTTCATACTTACGACCGTTGCAGCCATACTTTGGGTGCTTGGCAACTGGCATGTATTTAGAATTGGATTTTGCTTTCTAAAATACATATTTTAAAGGGGGGGGGGGAAAAAGCTCTCACCCAATTCAGTTGCACTTCGATTCCTATTATAGGTAGTCCTCAACTTACAACCATAATCAAGCCCAAAATTTATGTTGCTAAGTGATACATTGGTTAATTTTGCTCCATTTTATGATCTTTCTTACCATAGTTGTTAAGTGAATCACTGCAGGTGTTAAGTTAGTAGTCTGGTGGTTAAGTGAATCCGGCTTCCCCAAAGGCTTTGCTTGTCAGAAGGTCACCAAAGTGGATCATTAGGCCCCCTGGACGCAGCAACCGTCATAAATATGAGACAACTGCCAAGCACCTGAATTTTGATCACATGATCATGGGGATGCTGCAACGGCCGTAAGTTTGAAAAATGGTCTTAAAGTCACTTTTTCCAGTGCCATTGTAACACTGAACAGTCACTAAACGAACTGTTGTAAGTCAAGGACAACCTGTACCTGGTTTGAAGACAAGCACTGCAATGTCCGCATCAAATCCTTGCACCTGCATGGAGAACGGATTGAAGAGTTGCAAGCCCAACTTTTGCTTCCACAAGCCGCATCTGATGGCATGAAACCTTTTCAATCTCACAGCTACCAAAAGGGAGGAAGAAGCAATGAATCCGGAACTTCCTAAAACAGGGCCACCTATGGCTGCTTATACAGCAACCTCTGCACACAATTTCCAAGCACGTCAGTTGAAGAGAGTTCTGGCCATCATCTCCAGTTCTGGAAAGCTGATCTAAGAAGCGAACGTGCTTGGTTCTTCATGTCATATCCTAAAGCAGGGCTGGGGAACTATGGCCCTTTTAATGACTCGTGGCTCAGGAATTCTGGGTGTCCATAAGTCATAAAGGGGCCATAACTCCCCACCGTTCCCCTAACGCGATTGGCTAAATTCCTGAGGTTTCTAAAATGCAATTGAGTCAGTGATAAGGGAGCAAGAAGCAGGCTGCACCGGCCAAGGTTGCAATTTGGTCCAAAGACTTCAAGTTGCAATGTCCTGCTTTACATTCTTTATACATCCATTCATTCCATATTTGATTTATTATCTGCATTCATGGTGCGCTTTACACAACCATGTATCAATACGGTCAGAATGGAATAACAGAATAACAAAGTTGAAAGGGACCCTGGAGGTCTTCTAGTCCAACCCCATGCACAGGAAGGAATCCTATACTATTTCAGACAAAAATGTATAATCTCTTTTTGCAAATTTCCAAAGTTAGAGCATCCACAACTTCTGGAGGCAAGTTGTTCCACTGATTAATTGTTCTCACTGTCAGAAAGCTTCTCCTTGGTTCTAGGTTGCTTCTCTCCTTGGTTAGCTTCCACCCATTGCTTCCTGTCCTGCCTTAAAGTGATTTGGAGAATAATTTGACCAACCTTTTCTTTGTGGAAGCCCCTCAAATATTGGAAAACTGCTATTATGTCACCCCGAGTCCTTCTTTTAATTAAAGTAGACATATCCAAATCCTGCAACCATATGTACTCCATGTTTTAGCCTCCAGTTCCCTAATCATGTTTGTTGCTCTTCTCTGCACAATTTCCAGTCTCAACATCTTTTTTACATGGTGGTGACCAAAGTTGTGGTATTAACACTTCACGTGATCTTGATTCTAGCCCTCTGTTAATGCAGACTGGGATTGTGTTGGCTTTTTTGCAGCTGCAGCACACTGCTGGCTCATATTTAAGTAACTGTCCACTAGGACTCCAAGATCCCTTTCACAGTTACTACTCTTGAATCAGGTACCACCTATTCTATATCAGTGCATTTGGTTCTTCTTGAATAAATGTTTTCACTATTTTCATACTCCCTGTTTCTTTTTGCAGTATTAGTATACGGTGATCCTAACTCACTCATTTGCTTATTTGCTGAATTTTCTACTAAAATTTCCAAAAATATAGCAAAGTTCTGCTTGATTGCAAATGTTATCAGAAGACTTCCAAGTTTGATTGTTAAGGTGATTAAGGATACTGAACTGCCATATCTATATCTTTACAGGTAATCCTCAACTTATGACCACAGTTGAGCTCCAGATTTCTGTTGCTAAAGAAGGCAACTATTGAGTTTTGCACCATTTTATGACATTTACTGCCATAGTTAAGCAAAATCACTGTGGTTATTAAGTGAATCACATGGTCATTAGGCAAATCCAGCCTCCCCCATTGACTTTGCTTGTCAGAAGCTACTGGGATGGTTACAAATGGTGATCACATGACCTTGGGCCACTCCAGCTGTCATAAATATGAGTCAGTTGCCAAATACCCAACTTTTGATCATATGACTATGGGGATGCTCAATGGTCATAAGTATAAAAAATGCCCATGTCACATTTTTTCGATGCCACTGTAATTGAACAGTCATTAAATGAATGGTTGTCAGCCTACTCGTATTCAATTTTATTTTATGTTTACCTACAGATTCACAGAATATTATTAATAATACTTCTCTGTAATCTGCTTCTTCTTGTGCAGTTTTTGGTCTCTTGACCATAATTGGTTAAGACTAAAGGAATCTCATACATAATCCAAGCACACAGAGAAAATTTGATGAAGATCTCTATCTATTAAGAGATTTAACAGGAGGAAGCCCAATGGTGGACATTCCCTGAAAGTGAAAGTTGACTGAAGCAATTTATAATTTCAAAAATAAAGTCAGCTGAAACACCAATATATATTTGCAAGAACACTGACACAAGCAAGTGCACGCACGCACGCACACACGTACATACATATCCACACACACATTCACACACAGAAAACACTGGCTTATCTTAGCTATTTACCAGTCTGGTATGTCCTATGGTAAGTATGAAATCAAAGAATGGCTCTAATCCAGCCAGCTGAGCAGGGGAATTTTCCTGAATCTGCAAAAATGGCAAAATTGACATATATACACTTTACACATAAATGAACATCAGCATAAGAATGCACTTCCTGAAGAAAGTTGGATGCTTAATGCAAAAAGTGCCTGAAATAAGCATGTGTATAAATTAACCATAAACATCTGTTATAAATAACTGAAGGAGTTTCTTATAATCTGGAGCCCCAAGACTAAAGCTGTTCGGCTCAGCAATTTGGAGAAGATCCATGGTGGCACAGTGGTTAGAATGCAGTACTACAAATCTAACTCACTGCTCACTGCCAGGAGTTCGATTCTGACCTGTTCAAGGCTGACTCAGCCTTCCATCCTTCTGAGGTTGGTAAAATGAAAACCCAGGTTGGGGAGAGGGGGACTCTGTAAATCTTTTACAGAGGACTGCAAAGCACTAGAAAGAGCCATATATGTCTAAGTCCTAGTGCTATTTCCTCATCCCACAGGCAAGATCCAAGGCAATTAAAAAGGAGGCAAGGCCAGGCATCATCTCCCTTCATAGCAAGCTTCTTGGGGAGTTCACAATTTTGAGGTTTTAATTCTTTTGCAAGAAGGATCTCAATTTCTCAGACTTTGGGTTAAACATTCTCCACAGAACTTCCTGCACTGCACTTAGAAATACAGCTTAGTCTCAACATACACCCAGAGAATGCATTCCTGAATATTTCCTTTAAGTCAAGCTTGACATCTGATGTTTTTGTGTACACACCCAGCAATATGGAAGGGCTTTGACTTTGCTTTATTTCAAAAAGCTTAACTTATGAAAGCCACCGAGGAAGGGCAACGTACCCCCCACAACAAGTTAAACATCTCATACCAAGACCTTGCCCAACACTCTAAAAAAAAAAGAACAATAAATTACTTCTGCAGTCATGACTCATAACTTCTGCACACAATATTAAAAAGGCACAGCACTAATCTTGCAAAGACAAGGCTTAATCATTCTGACCCACCCAATCTATAGGATTTCCCTAAGTGGCCTTAGGGAAAGCAATCATCCCCAATTTGACAGTTGGGATACAGAATGAAGAATGAGAAATGTATTCAGAGATACATTTGGTGAGGAAAAGAGTATTAAGGAGACAGTACCCATACAGCATTATTCCAAACATCCATCAAGGATGGATATTTACCCTAAATATCCATGCCTAAAGATATTTTACCTGTGTAGTTGTCTCTATTGCTACCATATTATCTTTGTCATTTTCTCATCTTTCTCACCTCTCATCTTTCCTACTACTTTCTCCTATTGGTATATTATGATTATAAATTACTGTTTGCATCTTATGATTTATAATTGTATCTTATGATTTATGATCTGTTTTATCACTTTGTTGCTTGAATGTACCCTGAGAGCTTATGTACCAGAGACAAATTCCGTGTGTCCAATCACACTTGGCCAATGTAGAATTCTATTCTACTCCATTTGATTTGATTTTTATTTCACCTTTATAAGTAACTCAAGGTGGCAAATATACACAATACTTCTTCCTTGTTTCTCCACAACAACCACTCTGAAAGAGAGGGACTGGCCCAAAGTCACCCAGCTGGCTTTCTGGCACTCTAACTCTGTCTCCTAATTTTCTCCTAATTTCAACACTTTTAACCACTATACCAAACTGGATATGGTGTGATCCTTCCAAGATATTAACAAGTTTAGTCATGTTTTATTTTCACCAATGCAAAATTCATCCTTCAAGCTGGGATGTATCTTTTAACAAAAATGGCAAAATAGCAAAAAAAAAAAAAAAAAAAAAGATTAGATTCTACACACCGAAGATAAACAAGCATACGACAGCAGCTGTTTTAGGGTACAGTTAAGTTCTTTTTATGTCATTTTGGTGCGCTACTTTTTACTATTTGCCTTTTGCAAACCGCATTAACATCAGCAAAAATCAACTAGGTTCTATAAATTGGCAATATTCCCGCCGACAAAGCAATAGTTACTAATCGGAAGAGCAACAAATTGAGGTATCAGGTGGCAGGGCATAGTTTTCTGTAACTACGAACAAAGCTAAATGGCCCTGATTAGGGCTTGCATAGAAAACCAGCAAGGGAATTTCAGCTGGGGAAGGGGGGGTCAGGCTGGAGAGTCAGGAAAACACCCCTACAGGGAGGCAATTCTCAAACTCTTCCCTAGAGCTGTCAAGGAAATTACCCAAGTGGCCTTAGGGAGAGCCATTCAGGGGTTTCTGGTCTATCTCATTTCTCCAGCTTTCTTCCTGGATCAGGTCTCTATAGGAGAGTGGAAGTTCCCATTGAGCCTGTGTGATTGCTGCTCTTCTGGGACCCTCTTAAGGTGCAGAGCAGGATGAAAATACTTGAAATAAGGACATCAGCCAGCAGTTTGGTCTAGCACAAGTCTTCAAACTTGGCTAACATGATTGGAGGAGGAATTCTGGGAGCTGAAGTCCACAAGTCTTAAAGCCGTCATGTTTGAGGACCCCTGGTCTAGTGGTTAAGTCACCAAGCTAAAAAGCAAGAATCCCTGAGTTCAAGTCCTGCTTTAGTCCTTAAAGCCAGGTGGGGTGACCTTGGGCCAGTCACACACACTCTCTCTCTCTCTCTCTCAAGCCCAACTCACCTCACAGGGTTGTTGTTTGTTGTTGTGGGGTAAAATAAAGAGGAGGAAGCCTTGTTGGATATGTCCGCTGGCTTGAGTGACGTATAAAAACAACAAAAGAGGAGATAATAAATATATAAAATTACACTCAGCCTCACAGAGGGCACTTTCCACGATCCTTCCCTTCCCAGCTGGTCACTTGTCACCAAGAGATATTAGATGAATGTCCAAAATCCCCATCCACTGGGCGAGAGCAATGGGTACTGGGTAAAAAAAAGCTTTAGGGGGCTAGCAGTGGCTCATCTCCTGTGCAAGCCGATGCCCCCCCTCCCAGAGAGATTGGACTAATGCCCGTCCTTCCCACCCACTGGCTGGGGATGATGGGCGCTGGAGTCCAGCTTCGATTTCGGACCGGCTACACCCCAGGTGGCCCCGTCTTCACCCTCCGCCGGTCCCTCCGGGGAAACGCTGCTTACCCCGTGCACATGGTAGCCCTCGGAGCCCCCATCGGGAACCTCGGAGCTGGAACTCAGCCCCATGGCTGCCCGGTGAGGCCCCAACTCAAGCGCTGGGAGGAGACCCCGACGGCTTCGACGGCTTCTTCGCCGTCTCCATCGCCGCTGGTCGCCAACGACACAGCCCGTCAGCTTCCAATGCTGCAAACCCTGGGGCGCATGCGCAAGCGGAGGCCGCCGGGAAAGGGACAGCCAACGAAGCAAGCCGAGCGACGCACGCGAGCTTCATAGGCTGCAGCGCCCGTCAGTCGCCTAACGTCGCCACGAAGGAGAGGGCTAGCAACGAAGTGGGCGGGGAAAGTTCGGGTTTCAGAGGCGGGGGGGGGGGGGGGGGGGGAAGGCGGAGAGAAAGAGGAGGGAGGCGAAATCCCACGTGGCGCGGAGGAGGAGGAGCAGCTCTTCCGCGATTGGTTGCTTGAAGACGTTCGTCTCGGGGCGGGGGCGGGAATCTGTTTGTGGCGCGCGCTTTGTCGGTTAGGACGCTCGGGACGGCTTAGAGAGAGCGCGATGGCTGTCGCGGACCCCCAGTCCATGGTAGTCTCCCCCACGCGCTCCCAAAATACATATATATATATATATATATAAATATGACTATTGAAATACGGCTGGGAATGCTGTGCGTATTAACCGAGAGATGGGTTCATAATATGCCTTAAGGGCAATGCTTCTCCACCTCAGCGATTTCAAGAAGTGTGGAAAGAAAGGATGCTGACTGGGGAATTCTGGGAATCGAAGTCCACACAAATTAACTGAGGCATAGAAACATATGCTTAAAAGAAAACACTTCTGTTTTTGTTTCCAATCCAAAGTATGTCCTGGGTGTACAGATAACCCTTGAATTACAACCATTTAATTGGTTAAATTACAATGGCAGTGGGGAAAAAATAACATGACCATTTTTCATACATATGACCCTTGAAGCTTCCCCATGGCCATGTGATCAAAATTGGGATTTTGTTTTGCAATCTGACAAGCAAAGTCAATGGGGAAGATTCATTTAACTGGGTCACAAACTTAACCGTGGCAAGAAAGATTGTAAAAAGGCAAAATTCAACTGTCTCGCAAACAACAAATTTTGAGCTTAATTGTGGTTGTAAGTCAAGGCTACTTGTACTAGGACGTACTTAGCTTGAAGAAAAAATTATTTGGTTATTGTGTTACATAATATTCTAACTATGAAATCCTAGAATTGGATTTTTAATTACTGCAAGTAGTATGACCTAGATAATTTTGGCTGATCTCAAAAATTTAATAAGGTAAGATAGGATTAATATTTATATGGAGGACCACCAAGAAATCCCAGATTTTAAAAAAACCACAAAAAGAAAGTAATAAGAACCAACTTTCAAATGTTGCCCTAAAAGCCTTGTGGCGATTTGAGTTTAAGTTTCAATTTAAACTGAGTTTAAATATGTTTGGAATAAACACATCTAACATCTGACAAAAATAAATAAAAAATAATAATAAAAATTAATAATAAATTAAAGGGAAAGCAAAAAATTCAAAGGGAAGACTCAATGAATTACTGCAGTGGCCCCCAACCTTTTGGCACTAGGGACCAGTTCGAGGGGCTGTGATTTCATGCACTGCCTGCACAAAATGGGCTTCCCTTGTTTGCAGCCCAGTTTCTGGCATGCCACGCCCCTTTGCCGCTCCACAAGCCAAGGATTCGGGACCCTTAGACTTGGGTCTTTTTTTGCCATCAGTTTTCTATGTTTCTATGAGATATCCATGAAGTTACGAAGAGTCAAGCTCAACTTGAAACATGTTTTATCATACCTTAGTTTTATAGTCAGCTCAAATTTCCAAGTAAAAGCATATAGTGGATCAATGACATTTTTGACCAGCATGATACTTGCTGCTGGTATGTAGAAATTGTTATCTGTTACTTTTGATGGCAAACATAAATATCTAGCAGCATTAGTTTATAGAACAGTTTATACCGTTACTCCTTGGTAGATGTAGTGAATAGAATAGAATTCTTTATTGGCCAAGTGTGATTGGACACACAAAGAATTTGTCTTTGGTGCATATGCTCTCAGTGTACATAAAAAGAAGGAAAAAATACATTCATCAAAAATCAAAAAATACAACAGTGATAGTCATAGGTTACTAAATAAGCAATCAAATCATACTAGGAAATAAAATAATATAAATCATAGAGATACAAGCAACAAGGTTATAGTCATAAGTGGGAGGAGATAGGTAATAGGAAGGATGAGAAGAATAATGGTAATACAGGCCTAGTAAATAGTTTGACAATGTTGTGGAAATTAGTTGTTCAGCAGAGTGATGGCATTCAGGAAAAAACTATCCTTATGTCTAGTTCCGGTGTGCAGTGCCTTGGGTAGTTTTGAGGGCAGAAGTTGAAACATTTTTTTTCCAGGATGTGAGGGGTCTGTAGATATTTTCACAGCCCTCTTTTTGACTTCTGCAGTATACAGTTCCTCAATGGAAGACAGATTGGTAGCAATTGTTTTTTTCTGCAGTTCTAATTATCCGTTGAAGTCTGTAGTGAGGATTTATTTTAAATGCCGAGTTAGATAGTGGATCCAAATCTTTCTGCTTTCATATGTATTTTTCTTAATGTAGTGAACAGAATCAAAATAAATTTTCATCACTTTTTTTTTTATCTCAAGGCTAGAATTCTATACTATGCTCAGGAAAAATACTTCAACCATGTTATTCAAGCAACGAACACCGAATTGTCCAAACATGCTCATGATCCAGTGCTGCTATTTTTCAAGGGACTTGGAACCTTGCTTCTGGGTAATTAGTAAAAATGATTATTTAAAATAAATTTGTTGTACTGCCTAAACACTGTAGGATTACAGTTAATGTTTCTGAAACGAGTTGGAAGGAATAAATGTGGAAGGAGTGTTGAAAACTTTGTGCAGTTTAGAAATGATGATTAATTTACATTCACAATCTGTCATATTATGCAAATTAGTTATTGTAAAGAACCAAGAGATCTCTGAACTAAAACTGAAAATTGAAAAGCTAGAACAAAATCTCTTGATAGGGCAACTCGGCAATTCAAAATTAATCTTGAGCAAGTAAGTAGTTTAAAAGATAACATGAAATCAAATGATACTGAAATGTCTTAAAGCAATAAGAATAAACTGTAATTAATACATTAAAAGTACACCAAATTCCCAAAAAGCCAAATTAGCAAAATAAATGTATCAGATTTATACATTAATAAATCATGAGAAAAACAACAAAAACAAAATATACAATACCAAGGATTGGAAAACAATATTAGGTCATTTATTTTTATTTTATTTATTTATTTATTTTATTTATTTATTTTGATTTGTCAATCGCTTTCAAGATAATAGGTATAAGTATATACATAGTTATGAATACATGAAATGGGTACATATAAGAAAAATAAAAGAAACAATAGGACAGGGACGGTAGGCACATTGGTGCGCTTATGCACGCCCCCTACAGTCCTCTTAGGAAAAGGGTGAGGTCAATAGTAGACAGTCTAAGGTTAAAGGGTTTGGGGTTTGAGGCATAAAAATTAAGCATCTATTTGCAGAGCTGATTTTGCATGAATTTTATAGGCTACAGGATTAGCTTTGTTCTCCAAAATAATTATGTTTACAGACTTTAAAGAATAATAGAGTTGGAAGGGACCTTGGAGATCTTCTAGTACCCAACCCCTGCTCAAGACCCTATACTATACCATTTCAGACAAGTCGCTATCCAGTCTCTTCTTAAAAGCCTTCAGTGCACCCACGGCTTCTGGAGGCAAGCCATTCTACTGGTTTTGTTCTCACTGTCAGACAATTTCTCCTTAGTTCCAGGTTACTTCTCTCAATTAGTTTCCAACCATGAATTGTACTGGCTGTAGGTTTATCTTTGCCCTCCAAAGTAACTACGTTTATGATAGTTTTCATGTGAAATCTACTAAAAACTAAAGTCATTGTTTTGCATCTTTTCAGGCCGAATCCAAGAAGGCATCTCACTGCTTGAGAATGCCCAGAAACGACATGGTGATGTTTCCTTATGCTGCCTTCTAGGTCTCATTTATGCTCACAAAAGATGTGAAAACGTTGGTGAGTTATTATCCCACAAATTGCTTAAAATGAAAGCTATAGCATATTTCCAGGAGCTGTCTTGCAATCTTGCAGTCAGTCAGATGAAAACCTGGTGGGAAAGACTCCTTTCTTTCTTTTATTCCATTTTGATTCCTCTATTACAATGCTAAACTATGCAGAGGGAAAATAGCTACAATTGGAGAGGCCAGAAAGACTGAGGAAAACTTGGCCAAATAATATTGAGTTTCAAGAGAAGAATAAAATGAGACAAGCAGTTATTTTTAAATAACAAACACAAAGAAATAGAAGATAAAGATCAAATTGAAGAATTATTGAAGAACATTACAAACATAAAGGAAAATATATTTATGTCAAAAAAGTGAAGGAAAATATAAAGAAAAATTAGTGCAAGAATATTACCAAAAATATCCCCAAATCAATTATTTGTACAATGACTTGATATAAATCAAAGGCAAGAGAAAAGGTGGCCAAGAGAAGAAAATAACTAGATATTGTCACTAATGATATAAGAATGAATTTATAGAAACTCAAAGAAGATGTTATTGAAAGACAATCCTAATGAAACAATACCCACAGTCACAATCAGGAGCAACTGGACAACAGTAATCCAGAATGAGATGGAGTCATTCACTTAAAGCAAAACCTCTATTGAGAAACCATGTTAATACCTGTGATACTATTTACTTCTAACCTACACTCAATTGCCAGTGTCTCCAGGGTGGCATCTATGGGCGTCAATATACTGCAGATATTTAGTTTGATGCCTTCCAAGCTTCCTATCATACCTGACCTTTCATATTTTTCCAATATTTTAAATTTTAAATAAAATTGAAGGAAAGGAAAGCAATAATGTTCAGAATGATTTTGTTTCCTGGAATATATATGCTTCATAGTTATTTGTTTTTGAGAGAGAGACTTACAGTTATGAAATGTCAAATAATGTTAGCTTCTCTTCTCAGAATATACCATATCCACAAATATTCGAGCATGTTAATTGCAATATCATAACTGCCTCAGTTTTTAACAACCATTAGGATTTGGCATTTATAGCATGGAATACTGCTATGTGGACAGTGCTCATCTGAATTTACTTGACTGAG